CCCTTTCCCCAAATGTAATTTGACTTGGTGAATTTAATATTCATATGGACAATATGGCCCTCCCCCTCAGCAAAGACTTCTCCTCATCTTTGGACAGCCTCAGTTTTCATCAATATGCCAATTTTCCCACTCACATTAAAGGTCACACCCTGGAGTCAATCTGCTGCTCCGGCCTGACCCCCTCCAACTGTACAGCTGACCCGCTCCCTTTCACGGACCACTTCCTCATCTCCTTTTCTGTTCCCCTCCGTCTCTCCATCATCAAGTCACCACGTATCATTTCTTTTTGTAATATTAAGGACATTGATCTAGCTTCCCTGTCCTCCAGTTTTGCCACCTTGACCCCTAATTTGTCCTCTACTCCCGATGATCTTGTCATTCAGTACAATAACGGTTTGGTTTCTATCCTTAATTCATTTGCTCCCATCAAATCCCGCTCTGTACATTTTACTCGGTCTGCTCCATGGTTCACCCCTGCCCTTCGCTCCTTGAAAGCTACCAACCGGAGGCTTGAAAGACTCTACAAGAAAACCGGTCTCACCATCCGTAAAGACTTATATTCTGCTCAGATTTCTCTCTACAAGGACTCCATCTCCCGTGCCAAATCTCAGTATTACTCCGGTCTCATCTCGTCCAACTCCAGCAACACTAAAACATTATTTTCCATCATGAACAGCATTTTTCAGCCTCCCGACTCCTTACCCATCCATCTTTACTCTTCAGAAACCTGTAACTCTCTCCTTCAGTTTTTTAATGAGAAGGTCAATAGAATCCATCTCTCTTTACCTCATTCCTCCCCTCCCTCTCCTGATTTATTTGAACCCACCATTCAGTTCTCCTCCTTTGAACTTCCCCATCCCTCAGAAATATTAGATTACATCACCAAATCCAAACCTTCCACCTGTCAACTGGACCCTATTCCAACTGTTTTAGTTAAATCGTGCCTTTCTTCTCTGCTCCCTTTTATAACAGCCATTATTCATTCCTCACTATCCTCTGGTACGGTCCCATCCCTATTCAAATCCGCTTCAGTCAGCCCTATTCTAAAAAAACCTGGTTTAGATCCCAATGATTTCAATAACCTCCGTCCCATTTCCCATCTTCCCTTCATTTCCAAAGTCCTTGAGAAAACTGTTGCATCTCAGCTCCATCCCCATCTCACCCGCAATAACCTTTATGAACAGTTTCAGTCTGGCTTCCGTCCCCACCACAGCACAGAAACAGCTCTCATCAAGATCACTAACGACCTACTCATTGCTGCTGATTCTGGTTTAATCTCTATTCTTATTCTCCTCGATCTGAGTGCAGCCTTTGACACCATTTCTCATCCCATCCTCCTTAATAGACTCTCTTCCTTAGGCATCACTCACATCCCCCTCTGCTGGTTTCATGCTTACCTTACTGGCCGCACTCAGTTCATACAGTTAAAATCCTTTACCTCAGAACCCTCCCCAGTCAAGTCAGGTGTGCCCCAGGGCTCTGTCCTGGGGCCCCTCCTCTTCATAGTATATCTCCTCCCTATCGGCAAAATCTTCCGCAAATTCAATATCCAGTTTCACTGCTTTGCAGATGACACCCAGCTCTACATTTCCAGTAAGCCCAACTCAACTCTCCCACCATCCTCCCTTACACTCTGCCTCTCTGAAATCAAATCATGGTTCACCTCTAATTTCCTCAAACTCAACGGGAATAAAACTGAACTTCTTCTAGTTGGCACTAACTCCACCCTCTCAACATCTGCCAGCTTTTCTTTAACTATTGACAGCGCCATAGTCTCCCCCTCACCTCACGTCAAGAGTCTGGGTGTCATTCTCGACAGCTCACTTTCTTTTCAGGCTCACATTAATAACTTAATTCGGTCAGCATACTTCTATCTACGTTCCATAAACCGTATCCGTCCCTCACTGACCCCTCACACTGCCGCCATTCTCGTCCACAGCCTCGTCACCTCCCGTATCGACTATTGCAATTCGCTTCTTTATGGTCTCCCCAACAAACTCCTTCATAAACTGCAACTGGTCCAGAATTCAGCAGCCCGTATTATCACCAGAACCCCTTCCTTTCACCACATCACGCCGGTTCTCCAGCAGCTTCACTGGCTCCCAGTTAAATTCAGGTCCATCTTCAAAATTCTCCTTCATACCTTCATAGCAATCCACAACCTCTCTCCTCCATATATCTCAGACCTTATAAGTATTCACACCCCATCCCGTTCACTCAGATCTTCTTCTTCCATCCATCTTGCGGTTCCTTCTGCCCGTCTCGCTACCATGGGGAGCAGAGCTTTCAGCCGCTCTGCTCCTCGACTCTGGAACTCACTTCCCCCAGACCTCAGGAACGTCGACAGTTTTACCCTTTTCAAAACAAAACTCAAAACACACATGTTTAAATCTGCCTACAACCTCTGATTTTATTGAACTGTTTCTCTCTTTGTTTTTTCTTCTTTGGGTTTTATTATTGTTTTATTGTATTTTATTACGTGTTTTGTGTAAAGTGACCTTGGGTGTCCTGAAAGGCGCCTTTAAATAAAATGTATTATTATTATTATTATTATACCAGAGGAATGGCACCCACGGCGGTATGCCCCCGGCCCGGATGTGGCGCACCTGAGTCGGTAAGGCACCTCATCTGGGAGTGCAGCGCTGCCCAGGATCTATGGACAATGGCCAGCTCCTTAAAATTCCCGTACTTACCCGCAAGGGAGTTCCTAACGGCACAGACTGTGCTGTACGGTGTGTGTCCCAAGACTGGCAATACAGCAAAGCTAAGTCTGGACCAATGGCACACCTTAGCCGCCCTTAAAGACGCTGACACAAGAACACATGGGGGCCACTACTGTTGCAAAGTTTGGCAGAAACTTGGAATACCAAGACACAAGGCCCAGAAAAGACCTCAACGCAGCAGTATCACGAGGAGAAGGTGCGTTCAAAACAGCATCAAAGTGGTTTTTCATCCGGAAGTACAGGTGCTGGCCAGTAAATTAGAATATCATCAAAAGGTTGAAAATATTTCAGTAATTCCATTCAAAACGTGAAACTTGTACATTATATTCATGCAATGCACACAGACCAATGTATTTCCAATGTTCATTACATTTAAATTTGATATTCATAAGTGACAACTAATGAAAACTCTAAATTTGGTATCTCAAAAAATTAGAATATTCTGAAAAGGCTGAATATAGAAGACACCTGCTGCCACTCTAATCAGCTGATTTACTCAAAACACCTGCAAAGGCCTTTAAAAGGTCCCTCAGTCTTGTTTTGAAGGCACCACAATCATGGGGAAGACTTCTGACTTAACAGCTGTCCAAAAGACAATCATTGACACCTTGCACAAGGAGGGCAAGACACAAAAGGTGATTGCTAAAGAAGCTGACTGTTCGCAGAGCTCTGTGTCCAAGCACATTAACAGACAGGCGAAGGGACGGAAAAAATGTGGTAGAAAAAAGTGTACAAGCTCTAGGGATAACCGCACCCTGCAGAGAATTGTGACGACAAACCCATTCAAAAATGTGGGGGAGATCCACAAAGAGTGGACTGCAGCTGGAGTCAGCGCTTCAAGAACCACCACGAGGAGACTCATGAAAGACATGGGATTCAGGTGTCGCATTCCGTGTGTCAAGCCACTCTTGAACAAGAAACAGCGCAAGAAGCGTCTCGCCTGGGCCAAGGACAAAAAGGACTGGACTGATGCTGAGTGGTCCAAAGTTATGTTTTCTGATGAAAGCAAGTTCTGCATTTCCTTTGGAAATCAAGGACCCAGAGTCTGGAGGAAGAGCGGAGAAGCACAGAATCCACGTTGCATGAGGTCCAGTGTAAAGTTTCCACCGTCAGTGATGGTGTGGGGTGCCATGTCATCTGCCGGTGTTGGCCCACTCTGTTTCCTGAGGTCCAGGGTCAATGCAGCCGTCTACCAGGAAGTTTTAGAGCACTTCATGCTTCCTGCTGCTGACCAACTTTATGGGGATGCAGACTTCACCTTTCAACAGGACTTGGCACCTGCACACAGTGCCAAAACCACCAGCACCTGGTTCAAGGACCATGGTATCCCTGTCCTTGATTGGCCAGCAAACTCGCCTGACCTTAACCCCATAGAAAATCTATGGGGTATTGTGAAGCGGAGGATGCAATACGCTAGACCCAACAATGCAGAGGAGCTGAAGACGACTATCAGAGCAACCTGGGCTCTCATAACACCTGAGCAGTGCCACAGACTGATCGAGTCCATGCCACACCGCATTACTGCAGTTATTGAGGCAAAAGGAGCCCCGACTAAGTATTGAGTGCTATACATGCACATTCTTTTCATGTTCATTCTTTTCAGTTGGCCAACATTAGAGAAACAAACATTTTTTCATTGGCCTTTAGAATATTCTAATTTTCTGAGATACCAGATTTGATGTTTTCATTGGTTGTCACCTATAAATATCAAAATTAAACGTAATAAACATCGGAAATACATTGGTCTGTGTGCATTGCATGAATATAATGTACAAGTTTCACGTTTTGAATGGAATTACTGAAATATTTTCAACCTTTTGATGATATTCTAATTTACTGGCCAGCACCTGTAGGCCATCTGCGGTAACAACGTGTCCAAGAAAGTGCAAGACTGTTTTCCCAAAAGCACATTTGGTTTGATTTAGCATATGTTGAACATCTTTGAGCTTCTGTAGGACAGCATTCAGGTTTTTATCATGTTCTGCAGGGGATTTACTGTAAACATTGAGGTTATCCAGCGTAATTCTGGACACCTGAAAGGTCTTTTTTTCAGCCATCATTTTCTGAAAGGCTGAGAGTGCTGATGTAAATCCGTAAGGAACTTTATAGAACCTGAAGAGGCCATCATGTGTAATGAACGCAGTCAAATCTCTGCCGTGTTCATGCAGAGGCAGCTGATAGTGTGCATTAGCCAAATCAATCGTAGAGAACAACTTGGTGCCCTGTAAACTAGCAAACTTAGGTTAACTTAGGCAAACTACCCCTTGCCTCATCCGCATGAGGCAATTGGGGTAGCAATCAGTGATCACAGCTTTGTTTGGTTCTCGAAGGTCTGCACACAGTCCTATTCTTGTTGTTTACTCTTTATTCTTTTTTACTCTCCTTTTTTGCTGCTGTAATGAATGTTATTGCTGCTGTGACATCAAGCGTTCCCCACTGAGGAACAATCAAGGTGTTTACTATTCTATTTCTATTCTATTCATTTTTCTGTAGTCTTTCCAGTCCCTGTTTTAAAGTGGGTTAAATTTATTTTCACTGGCCAGCAACGAAAACCAAAAAATAGTAATTATCTGAAATGAAAATGCAATATCTCACCAATTAACATCCATGCTTTGGAGCAGAAAAAGAGTATAAAAACCACAATAATTCATGCTCAGTTTGCTCCACTCTGATTTACTCTGACGCTCACCTGTTCAAGCCAGATATCTGCACCTCTGGGGTTGGGCTCTGAGCTGAGGAAGGAGATCATCAGTGAGACTCCTGGGTAGTTCTGTTCATCATCAAAGAGGACAATTTCTCACATAAGTTGTGCTGCTGAACATGGAGAGAATGTGAGTAGCTTGTCCACAAATGTTGGTCAGTGTGTCAGGGAGGAAAAATTAACACTGCGGGCCTACAATGAATGCTTTCTCTAAAGTGGTTTAATAATGAATTCATTAATTAATATAAATGTTAATTATTTCTTGAGTTATTTCAGATCTTAAATACACTAAATGAGTCTACTTGATGGTTTCAATAATGATTTATGGAACCTGCCTCTTCTGAGTGCCTTAGGAATGCGTGATGTCTGAGGGTCTTGGTAAACACGTAAACAACTTTCTCAGATCTAGTTGGTCAAAGTTTATACATAATCTTACTTCGTATTTTCCCCAGTTCTGCCAGAGCTCTGAGTTCAGCGAAAGCTCACAGCTCCTGCTAAATGACCATTCTGGGAAATCAAACCAGATTTTTCAGTGGAATAATTTTAGCGGCACATGAACCATCCTTTTGAGTGAAACAAATATTATTTGCTCAATCTACAAACAACCCATCAGCTGTGAAACGGTCCGCCTGCAGCCGGAGAGACGATCTCTAACCAGATGATGTGGATTCTGGGGAATACGGCCCCTGGCAGCCACGATGGCGCTGCCTATCGTGGCTGCATGCACTGATGTTTGGAGAGTCCTCTACCCATCCTCCCCACCTAGTGGACACTTGTGTTGTGTGATGTCTGATGTCTGTTGCATTTCTGTCTGAGGTGTTTTTTGCAGAGCAAAGCTGCTCTCCCTGTGGAGGGTAACTCTGAAGTGCCTTTTTTCCTCCACCTGACTCAATCCTCATATATAAACCCTCTGATCTCTATTAAGGTAACGCGACTGGGGTTGCGAATGACCACAGTCACCAATTCTTGTCATGTGTCTTTATGTATGTATGTCTGATCTCAGAATTGTGTGTACTGAAACTCTAATTTCCCTCTGGGATTAATAAAGTATCTTTGAATTGAATTTGAATTCTAGCTTCCAGGCAACTAAAAAAAATCTATTTAGACTGTCATAATTCACTAACTATGATTAATAAATGCTACAACCCAAACAGAATCCTTTGCTGAATTCATTCCAGCAGTGGAAGATACAGCAAACTACAGTTTGCAGACATGTTTCAAAAGAAGTGAGTCCAAATGTTTCAAACACAGAAGCTTATGAGCTACATCCTGTTCCATCACGAGAAAGAATAAAGTGTTGAAATGTGGTTGACTTTGACCCTTTCCCTCTATATTACATAGCCCTTGAAGTGTTGCAGCAACATCTCGGGTCTAACACCTTTTAGTGTTTGGCTGCAAGCTTTGATCTTGTGAGTGCAACACCTTTAAATTTGAGATCAACATACACAGCTTTGATTGCTAAAACAGGCAAATATTTTGTCTGGCTCTGGTCTCCCACAAGTTACTGCCTTCTTTCAGGTCAAGTTAATTCTCATCAACATCAGCCCATCGTGGTTTTCAGCTCCACCTTTCCTCTGTGCAGACAGGATGTCTGTGTGGTAATATTTCTGACGCAGATTGTGTGTTGTCACTATTTTATAATACTCCAGTCTCGTCCGTTCTCGATCTTGTACTTATTTCTATAAATTTTGTTTATCTTGTATATAGATAATTTAAGGGAGGCATGCACAGAGCTTAAACCCATTTTGTTTGCAGACGATGCTACGTTAGTTTGCTGTGGGGAGAATTTGAATCAGATTCTGGACACTGTACATAAGGAGCTCTCAATATTGAAGACCTGGTTTGATGATAATAAACTCACATTAAATTTGCCAAAAACAAAGTTTAATATTTTTGGAAATAAACACAATGATCTAAATGCTAAACTCAGGATAAATAATATTGAAATTGAAAGGGTAACGACAATCAAGTTTCTTGGACCATGAATTAAATTGGAAACCACATGTAACTTACATTAAGACAAAAATATCGAAATCAATAGAGATACTGTATAGAGTTAAAAAGGTTATCAATACGTCTTCTCTGCTAACCCTATATTCTTCTTTTATTGTCCCTTATTTAATAAATGGCGTAGAAGTATGGGGCAATGCATACAAAACTAAATTAGAACCTCTGTAACAAATCAGTTCATGTAACCCTTCTGCTCAGCCAATCACACACAGCCTTCATCAACGTTAGGAGTTTGATGTGTGCGCGAAATACAGACAGCAGAGTGGCAGAGATGGGATCACTTCACCTCCTCCTGATTTTCTGCAAAATCTGTAAGTATTTAATACGTTGTTTATCACAATAACCCACAAAATATGATAAAGTGTGAAAGTAATGATAACATAAACTTTTTTTGTATTTTTATGCAGGTCAAGTTGTCAATGTAGGCAAAATCTCAGAGATTATTCAAGATAGTGGTATTAAAATGGCTAAAATTGGGGAAAATGTGACTCTGCACTGCACCTGTCGAGATACCTCTGTGACATCCTTTGCTTGGTACCTGCAAAGTCTGGGTACTAAACCTCACCTCTTATCAAGTAGGATGAAACACAGCCCTAAAGCTGAAATCACCCCCTTGTACCAAAAACGCTTTGAAGTCTTTGCACAGAGTCAAAATGGCATCAGTGATCTGAAAATCAGTTACCTTCAACTGTCAGATCCCGGGACATATTACTGTGGGACGTTAACATTCAACGCCATTCAATTCGGACAAGGGGTTTTCCTTCAAGTCAAAACATCTCTGTCCAACAGAAGATCCGTGATCTACCAACCGGTGAATAGAACACTTCGACTGGGGCAGACTATGAATTTGAGCTGTACCGTGTACACTGAGCCATGTGCAGGAAACACGAGTCTGTTCTGGTTCAGAGATGGTTCATCCCACCCTGATGTTATGTATCCCAGTGAAGGAAACTGTAAAAACCTCTCAGACTATCCGCGCCATGGGAAGAGCTGCACTTTAAATCTTGAAATAAATTCTGTGAGCTCCTCAGATGCAGGAATCTACCACTGTGCCTTAATTCAATTCAATTCAAGTTTATTTATATAGCGCCAAATCACGACAAGAGTCGTCTCAAGGCACTTCACATAATAAACATTCCAATTCAGATCAGTTCATTAAGCCAATCAGAAATAATGTTTCCTATATAAGGAACCCAGCAAATTGCATCAAGTCACTGACTAGTGTCAGTGACTATACAGCAATCCTTAGCCTCCTGCGGGCACATTGTCTTTGGAAATGGAACCAAAGTTGTGGTTGTAGGTATGGTTCATCACAGTAAGTACCGGTGAATGTTATGAATGTCTAAAAGCATTCAATTCAACTGTCTTAGCTATACATTCACATAAAGCAGTTTAACTCTCTTCTGTCAGGTGATGCCCCGCCTCCTCCTGTCCTGGTGTACTGTTTGTGCACGGCACTGACAGTTTCCATTATTGTGCTCCTCATCCCCCCCCCCCCCCCCCCCCCCGCCATAATGTACAAGCTAAAATTAAAGCTACGTGCTGCCAGCAAAGGTGAGGCTTCCAGATTTTAAATAATCCAGCTGATTGTCTCCTCTTTTTCACAATGCCTTTTAACATGCAGGAACCGCTTCTTCTCTGAGATGTTCTGCACCTCCAGACACTTCGGTAGGTCAAATACCCACAAACCAACATCTATACCGTTTACCAACTATTTTAATGAACGTAGGCCGTTTCTGCTTCTATTATAATTGCCTAATGCAGAATGACAATGCACAAAGTCTTCACTATGCTGCTCTGAGTCTGTGAGTGTTTGCATCAGAGCAAAGAGCCGAAACAAGTGAAGAAACTGAGTTTTACTGACACTGTATGTCAAATAAAGTGGTTTTCAAGCCTTCTTAATTTCATTTTTGTTCTGACCTCCAGCCTTTAAATGTCATATCTAGCGATGGGTACCGATTTCTGTACTTTTTAAGGTACCGACCGTATTCCATAGTACCGACTGAGCACCGATTCACGTCATTTGAAATGGTGCCTCGTTTCGGTACCCGTCCTTCATAACGAGAACTTGCCTAGACAGCTGCGCATGCGCAAGAGCGTTTACCCCCAAATTCCACTACCTCCGCTCCGCTGCGCTCCGCTCCGACACGAACGCCGGAGCAAAATCGGTCCCGTTCTAGTCAATCAGAGCAATTCCACTACTGCGGCCGTGCTCCGGCAGTGCGGCGCCGTGCGGCGCCCTCTGTTCCGGCGTCCGGCAAAAATAGAATCGATCCTATTTTTGCCGGACGCCGGAGCACCTCCGCAGTAAATGGACAGAAATCACAACGGCCCAACAGGAAAAGGAGCAAGCACATCTTCCGTTTTTCACAATAAATCGCTAAACAAAAGGCGTTTTTTGTTTCATATGCACAGGTTTAACAACTTTTAACAACTATCAATGGCGGCTGAAGTTTAAATGCACAAAAATAAGCCATAAATACAGTTGCCACTATCAAAGTAGTCACACTTTGTTGATCCAAACACTGCTGATCTCTCAACACAATGATGGGCAGATTAAACAGCTCATTTCCGATGCTTCTCCCGCACAACGGGTGTTTGGATCTAACTTCCGCGTTTATTGCTCGGACTGTATCGCAAGATCTCGAAAATCCCGCGCATGCTTGTTTGCCCCCCTCAGGTCTCCGCACCGGAGCGGAGCCGTTGTAGAGCGGGTACCGGTAAAAATTGAGTTCGGAAGCGAGCGGCTGCGGAAGGCGGGGGCGGACCGGAGCGGAGCGGAGCGGAGGTAGTGGAATTTGGGGGTAAGTCATCGCTCGCTGCGAGCCAGTTGTAAACAGAGCAGCATGGTAGAAAGAACGCACGCTAAAGCTTGGGTCCACTTCACTAAATGTGATGGGTAACTGGGTGATGATGAAACCAGCGACAACGATCTAAGTGAGACATCCTCATCTTAATCTGCTCCGGTAGGTAAATAAAATGTTTAAGATAACGTTAGCTTGATATGTTAGCTTCCATTACGCTAATGGTGCGTTCGCTTTCTCCTCAGAACTCTGAATTTCCGACTAGAAGAACATGAACGCGCTCTAAAGTTTGGCTTCACTTTACTAAATGCGACGGGTGATTGGGTGAAGATGAAACCAGCGACAACGATCTAAGTGTGAGGCATCATCGTTTTAATCTGCTCCAGCAGCTAAATAAACTGTTTAAGATAACGTTAGCTTGATATGTTAGCTTCCATTGCTGCCATTGTTATCAGCTAATGGTGCGTTCGCTTTCTCCTCGTAAATTCTAACTTCCCAGTAGGAAAAATCAAATGAAAAAGGACGGCAAAAGGAATGAAGATACACAGTAAATTTAGTTCACAGTAAAGATGTTTGCTTCAGTTTAATTATCAGCTTATAAAACTACAAGGACGATGTTAAAATACAAACAGTTGAATGTTCTTTATCGTGATATTTATCAAATATGGTTATGAACTGAGAAAAATATATATTTAATAATAAAAGAGAATTAAAACAAAGTATCTAAAATTGGTTCCGTTAAGTACCGGTATTGATTCCTAGGTACCGGGAATTAGTACCGAATCGATTCAAATGTCAAAGGTACCCATCCCTAGTCATATCTGATTGTTGGTTTTCTTTGACCTAATTGTTTTAACCTGTGTCTGTTTTCTTAGTTTTTATCTTTGCCAGTGTTCAGCACTTTGGTCAGTTGTAATGCTGTGTTGAAAGAATAACTGAAAGCACACCTTTACTGTGCATTGTCATTACCCGCTACACCCACGCAATCTATTTTTAGCTGTGTCAGAACAGGGTCTGCATCAAACTGTCACGCTTCACAACATCTGCTATCCACTGCTATGGTAACAGCGGTTTGACCAACAGAGTCAAAGTTTCCACTGATGGAAATGCAAGTTCTCTAAACGCTTGAATACGAGAAGATCAGCATGAACTCTGCTGGCCAAAGCGACATGCACCTTTGGTTTTCAGTGTTCTGTCTGAGATGCAGTTAAAAAGTCTGAAATCAGAATAAGAATCTTTTTGTAGTCACCAGACGGTGTGGAGAAGGAAAATAGGACTTTAGCTATGCTATTTTTTTGAGGTCACACCCAAGTGTCATCCAGTTATTGTTTCTGTTCCTTCCAAACAACTTACTGAAAGCCATCACGACGGATTTCCTTAGATTATCTCTGTTCTGCAACATGATGTTACGAGAAAGATGCATGACCTGTGTCCACATCCTGCATGTAAAAACTCCACCAAATGCATTAGGTCCAAGGAGAACTAGAGATCCACAGGCATCAAATACTTTTCAGTGATAACTTTTTAAAATGGATTTATTTGGCTATTTTGAAGTATTTCTATGTAAAACCAATGCAACATTCCTACCTTGCACCTAGCTTCCTACATGGCCTCTGGAGAAACTGTGTACCCCCTAAAGGACTGATGAGCTAACAGCTAGGCCGAGTACCAATGATGCCTCTTTCAAGCTCACAAAATAGCTAAATACGCCTCCCCTTGAAACTTTGGCTGCTCTGGCTCCCAAAACATTTGTTCATTAATGTATTCACAAACCAGTTCAATTGTGCCTTTTGATTCCCATCTGTGGATTAGTTTCACCTCTCCGTACCACTGCACACCTCTTTCAGAGCTTAACAGTGCAATCCTTGTTTTTATTCTGGATATCTCCTGACGGGGTGCATTAAAAAAGACCTCTCAGTGGCTCTCAGATTGAGCGCAAACACAGAATCTTTTTTCTTTTTGTTTGCAAGCAACAACTGCCCAGCGCACCCAAAATCAGTGTGTATGGCTGCTAATCTAAAACGAATCTAGACATTTCATAGACCACTGACACAACCTTGTCTGAAATGCAGAGAATATATTTTTTATTTCTCACAATCAACAAAAGTCTGGGGCATTTCTGGGATGTTGTGACATCAGTTTTTCAAGTTTAGTGTTTATTTCTAGGATTAAAAGATGGTCCTGTAACTGGTGAAGGTTAGACTGATCTCTACTTTGAGCTGGATTGGTCGGGGAATGAATCTGTTCAGCACCAGCGATCGAGACCTGGCACTACTCTATCTCTCTGAGCTGCTTGCTCCTTTTGTGCCAGGGCGAGCACCGGGGTCCGCTGATCTCTTATTGCTCTCCACGCCACGGACCAGATAAGCACGGGGGAGTGGGCATTTATGTGTGCTGCCACTACTCTTTGGTATGGACTCCCGCTGTCGTTTAGACAGGCTCCATCTCTTGCCTCTTTTAACTCTGGTTTAAAAACGCTGAGATCTTTGGCCTGTGCTTTTATGACCATGTCTGTGATTATATTTACTTGTTGATCTTATCGTTTGTTTTATCAGCTTTTACTGTAATGTATTTGGTCAGCTCTCATGCTGTGTGTGAATGTGCTATACAAATAAACTGGTATGGTATGGGAAGACCATTAACTTGTTCAGTTGGTTCCCTCTGACACTGCACTGTTCTTAAACAAACAAACAAACAAACAAACAGCTTTTCACAAAATAATAAAAAAAAACTCTCAACAGCCCAGACTGAGACAGTCAGTTGTGCTTTGATGACAAGAGAATCCCAATCTACATTTGCACCTCCCCCCCTCCAGATGATGCTGGTATTTGTGCAGCATGTGTGTACTTTGTGATGCCTTTTAGTGTTTACTGGCTGTTGATTATAATTGTGACAGCACACTTCTCCCTCTGACTTTTTTGAGGTTGAAGATTAGATCTTAGCAGTTCAGCAGTGAACCAACCCACTCTGTGTGGGCCCTGGCAGGAAGTTCCTACAGTTTGTTTTTCCACTGACACCACATGGGTTGAGTTTGATGCCCACCGCTTTAGACAATAGAAAACAAGAAATTATTTTACTTTCACGCTAGCTGAGATATGCAAGCGTAAACAAGGAAAAATCAATGGTATATATGCAAAATGTCATATAATTTAGACTTCTATGTGTCTAAACATCGGCATAGACCGTGTTTTCACATCCACCCAAAAATGTTTCTGCTTGACAAACCAAAATATACCATATATAAATGGTAACATGTAGAATACCACAGGACCATGGCTTGTGTTCCTTCAACACTACCAAAATATATCATCACACACTATCTTCATATATATATATATATATATATATATATATATATATATATATATATATATATATATATATATATATATATATATATATATGTATATATATATATATATATATATATATATATACACATATATATATTTATATATATATATATATGAAGACAGTGTTTGATGCAGATAACAAATACAATAGTGACTTTACTTACTACATAGTAAGTGTACAGAGCAGCTTAGTGGGACTTGAGTTCATCACCGTAGTTGCTGGTGTTCGTTCTCATCAGCCAATCAGTATCGTTTCTTCAAACCCCAGAGCTCATAATGAAATTCAGTTTGTTCTGAGAAGCAGTCTGGTCACAATGACACTCCTAACGTTGACTTTCTGTCTGACGGCCCTTCTCTTCTTAAGTTCAGGTAAGCTGGCTGTTCAGGACATTTATTTAGAAGAAACAAATTTAGACTGCTGTGATAAAAGTGTTTTATTTTTTCATACAGATTTCTTCTGTTTTTTTTTTTAGTTTATTTTGTTTTTTTGGTCACATTCAGATGTTTCAGAACAGCAAACAAATCAGATAAATGATACAAATAAATAGAAAATACGTTATTCTCTGACAGGGAGATTTGTTTTATTGAATTGTTTTAATTCGACCACTTTGAAGGGTTTTACAGCACAGGGTGTTTAAGGTCAGAGGTCCGACTATTTCAGGATTTTGTATTAGAGAGCAGAATTCATGATTCCATGATTTACATCAAGTTGTCCAGGTCCTGAAGCAGCAAAGCAATGCCATGTTTGATGGTTTTCCTGACAGGCAATGTTAGATTCATACCTGATATTATGGGACGCACATCTTCCAAAACGTTCCACATTATCCTGCCTATCTACAGCATTTTATCCTTGAGGATCATCAAGATGTTTATTGGTAAAACTGAAATAAAAATCTCTGTTAGTTTTGGCCTTGGGACTCTCCCATGTGACCCTATTTATTTTCCCCTGAAAAAACAAAGATCTTTGGAAAAAACAAAAAAATTGTATTAACTCGTTTTTTTCTGACACTAAAATATGTTTGCTGAACTGAAACACTAAAGTGTGACAAAACAAACACAAAAAAATTGTAGATGAATAAAAAAAACTCGTTGACAGCAATCACTGTAACCCCCAAATTTCTGAAATTTTTTAATTATTGTATGCTTTTTCCCTACAGCGCAAAAAACTACTCAGAAATCATCCAGTCGTGTACGGCAGGATAACGGTCTTTTTTCAGCCAATGTTGGAGACAACATCACTTTAAACTGTTTTTATGAAAACGATGCCGTCATGCTTGTCTGGTTTAAACAAACTCTTGGACAGAAACCAAATGTCATCTCAACGTTCTATAAACACAGTGCACAAGGTCACTTTCATAATGAACAGAAGGACAATTTACGTTTCGGACTAGAAGTTGGAAAAGGTAAAAATCACCTGAAAATCTCAGATGTACAGCCTTCAGATTCAGCCACCTACTACTGCGTTGGTGTTGATGGAGAGGAGTATGAATTTGGAGATGCAGCTAGAGTCAGTGTAAGGGACTTGGGAACAATCCCTCGGTCAGAATCCAAGACCGCACAATCGGGATGTTTTGTTACCCAGAACTGTTCCGTACGTGCTGGAACCAGTGATGGAGAACACAGCGTTTACTGGTTTAAAGACTCAGAAGAAGCTGATCCGGGACTCATTTACACCCACGGTCAACGTGAGAGAACCCCCAATCTACAGCCACACAGCTGTATGTACCACCTGCCAACGAAGAGCCTGACTGGGAGTCATCGTTGTGCTGTTGCCTCATGTGGGCACATTCTGTTTGGAAATGGAATCAAACTGGATTCAGCAGGTAAAGACTAACGTAGCAACACTCATACGTTGTTCTTAAACACAAATGATACACTGAAAGTGAGCAACATCGTGCCATATGATTTCTGCAGATGACTGGAACCCTTCAGACTCTCTTATATATATATTAAGTGGAGCTTTGACCATCACCACCATACTGATTGTTTGGGTGGGTTTCTCTGTGTACAAGGTGAACAAACAAATCCAAAGCCACAAAGGTAAATACAACTACTCAGACAATACTCACTTTGGCTGAGTTTAAGAATAAGAATTCAGACTCTTGGATTTTCACTGACTGTTTATAAGCCTCAAACTAGTGAGCCTTTTTGCATTCCCTGCATAAATGCTGACCCCTTCAGCTTTCTTTCTTTCGTGACTACTGTTTCTGGCTTTTCATGCATAGGTTTGAGGCTTTTGCTCTTCCATGCATCCACTTCTTCCTGTCACACTCAATGCTCAAATCACTGGAACTATAAAACTTTTTCACAGTCCTCGTTTATTTGTGAACAGTTTTTCAAAAGTTGCACCTGTTTCAGATGGCTGCCTATGATTTCGCTGTGATGTTTTTGTTAAAACAGTTTGGTTCCAAGTAAAACTGGCTTTCTAATGGACAAAAACATTTTTATTCAAAACAGAGTCACGTAAAAGAAATACAGACGGTTTTGTGGTTGACTCAGAGGTGGGTTTTGTTTCTAAATAAAAATGTTGGATAAACATTTGAATGACAAGAGACACATTTATATCTAAAATACCTTTCCATGTATTATAATTCACTTGTTCTTCTGCATCAGGGTCACCAAGAGGAAGAAAGGCTCCATCGTGCTGCTGTAAGGCAACAAACATTCAACAGAGGAACGAGTCAGTGTGTGTACTCCAGTGTAAGACAGTAGAGTCAACATGCGTTTTAATCTGTTATGCTCCATTTACTTAGTAAGGTACAACTCATACACTCGCTTTTGAAAACAATATGTGAAGACAAATTAATAAAGAAAGTCTTTTATTATGTAGACCATTGGAACGTTTTACGGGACTCTTTAGCCCCTGCAACACTCTGCCAGTCAGGCTCACTGCCAAAGGTGATTCGTCTTCATAACTTGTTGCATTTATGTTGCTTCAGAAATAATAAAAATTGTTATGACCCCGGTCATATGGAATGTTATTTCTTTTATTTTTATACTCTTTGTATTTCTAGTGTTGTTTTGAGTGTGCAGGTGCCCTCCTAGGATTGGTGGATGATGACCAGGGGACGTTTGGATTGGAAGATCAGCTGGAGCAAAGCTGTTAAAAGGAGCCTGATGAGATGCAGCTGTGTTCTTCATCCTCCACTCATTCCAATCAGCCACCACTTTGATGCTCTGTGTTTGTGTGATGCCCCTGTGCCTTTTGTGACTATTACCTGCCATTCGAGGAGTCTGTAGGGGTGAACCGCCTTTTTTCTTTGCATTCCTGTTTTCTCCTGTTTTGGATAGTCAGGCAGGTAAGTTTGGTTGTCAGTTATTTCCTTTAAGTTTGTAGGTCAGTTGTCATTCTGGAGTTAGAGGTGTTTTGTTTATTGTTTTAGGCATTGGTTCACCCTGAGTTATTAATCCTCCCTCGTCCTCAGTTCATCACCTTGATCTTGTGATTAAATTATTGTACTCGGGATTCTGGTGTGGTGGTTTGGAATTGGTGGAAGATGGAACCATTTTGATGTTACAGCCTGGCCCTCCTAGACGGGTTGAAACAAAATGAATGTTGTTTATGAACATGATTCAAAACTCTGTGACTTCATTAATATGTACATGAAAACCAGTTTTGTGGTGATAAAAACTACTTTCAGTGTAATACATTTTCCCCCTTGCAACTCAAATGAGTCCTCCGTTAGGTGGGGCAAGCCAATGGAGATTTAAAAGGGCCATATCATGGAAAATCCACTTTTGGGAGCTTTTTACCATTTTATTTCCTCATGAAAATAAATGCCCAAACCCATTTTTGGCTGCATTTTTGTATTTTCCTGTTTCAGCTGCAAAATTTGAGTTTCACTTTGAAAATCTTGTAAAGCGTCAATGGAAACTAGTCTCGTCATCAAGCCCTGCTTCTCTCCCAGAAGCTAGTCTCTGATCTGAAACTTATCTCCTTCGCACGCTCACAGAAATCTCCCATGAACTTAGTTTTATGAGCTCCGGGTGGGGTTTGCTATAAGTGCAGATTCAAATTCAAAGATACTTTATTAATCCCAGAGGGAAATTAGAGTTTCAGTACACACAATTCTGAGATCAGACATACACACATAGACACATGACAAGAACTGGTGACTGTGGTCATTCGCAACCCGGGTCGCGCTACCGTAATAGAGATCAGAGGGTTTTTATGAGGATAGAATCAGAGGGAGGGGAAAAAAGGCACTTCAGTTACCCTCCACAGAGAGGGCAGCCTTGCTCTGCAAAAAACACCTCAGACAGAAATGCACACAGACTTCAGACAACACACAACATAAGTGTCCACTAGGTGGAGAGGTAGGGTTGGGACTCTCCTCACTTCAGTCCATGCAGCCGCATGGAGCAGCGCTCAACACCTCCGTTTGGACAGGGGAGGGAGATAATGGGTTAGAGAGCACAGTGACTCCTAGATACGGTTCCACGGTCTTCACCGGTCACAGTCCCGCCCAGGCTGGGATAGGGAGAAAGAGTTTCCATAGCGACGACAGCATTCCACATTTCTTCTGAGGGGGGAGTTTTCACTTCAGCCTCACAGGCTTCAAGGGCACCAGATTCAGATAAAAATTGTTTTGGGGACAGACAGAGACAATTTCCTCTCTTTCTTAGTGTTCTGTTGGTATACAACCCCTCTAGATCCAATAATGGCGTAATTAATTTATCCCAATCCGTGCTGATCCTTCCACTCGCTCCTTGATGGAATCCACCTTCTGTGCCAGAGCCTGAATCTCAGCCAAAGTTCCAAGCTTACGACTCTTCTCGACAATTATATGAGTTTGTGCGTTCACAGCGCAGTGTAATCCATCCCTGAGCTCTGGGATTGAGCCAATATTCCTCGACAGCTCATTAATGTTCCGGTAAACCAGGTAACCGCTCAGGCCAAACAGCAGGAATCCCGACACCAAAACGACGAATATCCAAACATCTTCAGAATCCTCTACAGATCAGTAATGTTTGGTTTAACAAGTGAATCATTATCTACACTCAGACACAATGTTCAGTAGAGATAAATTAAAAGTAACGTCACTGCACATAGAGATGTTCTTACCCACAAATCAGAGCATCCTGTATCTGAGGAGGCGTGATGTTCTGAGGGTTGTTTGTTAACACCTCTTAGGCCCTGTCCACACGTAGCCGGGTATCTGCCAAAACGTAGATATTTTTCTACGTTTTGGCCTGTCATCCACATGAAAACGCAGTTTTTTCACACGAAAACGGATCTTTTTAAAAACTCCGGCCAAAGTGAAGATCTGCGTTTTCTCCGTTTTGAGTGTCTGCGTGTGGACAGACAAAACCGGAGTTTTAAGGTCCGCAACGTCACTTTCCGCAACAAAAAAATGCTGACATCACGTGTGCGACCTGTGTTTACACTAGCCGACAGCATGGAAGCCTTCAGAGCTGCGCTCTGTCACTACCCGATCCATCAATTGTCCAAGTGCTTTTTGCTTGTTTGTTTTTGCAAGAGGAATTACTGCTCCGTGCGGAAGACCACAGACGAAGGACGAGGTTAAGAACGGGGGAAGTACTGCCGCCTACAGGTCTGGCATGTCCTTAACAACGTATTTATCCGGGTACGTGTGGACAGAGTTTGTTTTTAAAACGCGGTGGAGTGGATGCAAGGTTTTGGAGGGGCGGATATTCGTTTTTAAAAACCCCGGCTACGTGTGGACTAGGCCTTAACATGGCACGTCCCGATTGGCCAGGTAATCATAATATGAGAATATTAAAACAGGATCACTCTAAAGGGGAGTGATTCAACATTCTGCGAGATTCAGCATTCCGTTAGTTTGAGCAGAACTCCGGATTGACCACTGGGGGAAAACTAACCACCGCCTCTCTTGACAAGCTTACTACAAGCTAAAAGCTACCTACAGCTGACACAGCAAAACGGTTCCTTCAGCTATACAGAAACAGCTGCTCTAGAAGCAAACTAGTTCCAACCTGTGTGCCTGGTGACATCTCTGGACTGGAGCGTCGGTGCTGCGGTTAATCTACTGATCCTCGGTGCCCAGAGGTCATCCGACCTTTCTGACCTCCAGATCCGTGAAGAGGGTCTCCAAAGAAAGGGTGAGGTAGACACATCATGAATTGCATCTGATGCCGTTTTGATAAGAACCAACTTCAAAGTTTAATGCAGACCAAGTTCTTTTCACACCCAGAACTCAGTTTCTTCTAGATACAAGGTTCTGATAAACACACACCATTCAGTCACCATACATCACATCCCATCCCCTTAGATTCATCCATCACATTCGTCTTATTTAACTTGTCTTGTTTTAATTTGTTTAGAAAATAGATTTCTTACCTTTTTTAAACCTGAACTGTCTGAATTGATATGAAGTGTGTTTGATCACTGAAAAAGCAAAGAATCCTAGAATCTTCTGATTAAACATTCGAGGACCAATCAGGTTGATATCTTATATTTATATAGAACATCACAATTCAATTCAATTCAAGTTTATTTATAAAGCGCCAAATCACGACAAGAGTCATCTCAAGGCACTTCACATAATAAACGTTCCAATTCAGGTCAGTTCATTAAGCCAATCAGAAATCATGTTTCCTATATAAGGAACCCAGCAAATTGCATCAAGTCACTGACTAGTGTCAGTGACTATACAGCAATTCTTTTGTGTGTGTGTGTGTGTGTGTGTGTGTGTGTGTGTGTGTGTGTGTGTGTGTGTGTGTGTGTGTGTGTGTGTCTTTGACTGCCTGCTTATTGGTCATAAGTAAAGGTAATACATTAAGCTTAAAAGCAACTATATTAACACCCAATTTCTTACATAAACATTAGACTTTCATATATATTAGATTCATTACACACAACTGAAGTAGTTCAAGCCTTTTATTGTTTCTAATATTGATGTTTGAAAACCTTAAATTCCTATCTCAAAAAAATTAGCATATTTCATCCGACCAATAGAAGAAAAGTGTTTTTAATACAAAAAAAATTCTACCTTCAAATAATTATGTTCAGTTATGCACTCAATACTTGGTCGGGGATCCTTTAGCAGAAATGACTGCTTCAGTGCGGCGTGGCATGGAGGCAATCAGCCTGTGGCACTGCTGAGGTGTTATGGAGGCCCAGGATGCTTCGATAGCGGCCTTAAGCTCATCCAGAGTGTTGGGTCTTGCGTCTCTCAGCTTTCTCTTGCCCTGCCCTTGATAAAACACAGTGGACCAACACCAGCAGCTGGCATGGCACCCCAGACCATCACGGACTGTGGGTACTTGACACTGGACTTCAGGCATGTTGGCATTTCCCTCTGCCCAGTCTTCCTCCAGACTCTGGCACCTTGATTCCTGAATGACGTGCAAAATTTGCTTTCATCTGAAAAAGTACTTTGGACCACTGAGCAACAGTCCAGTGCTGCTTCTCTGTAGCCCAGGTCAGGAGCTTCTGCCGCTGTTTCTGGTTCAAAAGTGGCTTGACCTGGGGAATGCAGCACCTGTAGCCCATTTCCTGCACACGCCTGTACACGGTGGCTCTGGATGTTTCTACTCCAGACTCAGTCCACTGCTTCTGCAGGTCCCCCAAGGTCTGGAATCGGTCCTGCTCCACAATCTTCCTCAGGGTCCGGTCACCTCTTCTGGTTGTGCAGCGTTTTCTGCCACACTTTTTCCTTCCCATTGAGGTGCCTTGATACAGCACTCTGGGAACAGCCTATTCATTCAGAAATGTCTTTCTGTGTCTTACCCTCTTGCTTGAGGGTGTCAATGATGGCCTTCTGGACAGCAGTCAGGTCGGCAGTCTTACCCATGATTGTGGTTTTGAGTACTGAACCAGGCTGGGAGTTTTTAAAAGCCTCAGGAATCTTTTGCAGGTGTTTATAGGTTATTAGTTGATTCAGATGATTAGGTTAATAGCTCGTTTAGAGAACCTCTTCATGATATGCTAATTTTTTTTAGATAGTTTTGGGTTTTCATGAGCTGTATGCCAAAATCATCAATATTAGAAACAATAAAAGGTTTGAACTACTTCAGTTGTGTGTAATGAATCTAATATATATGAAAGTCTAATGTTTATCAGTACATTACAGACAGTAATGAACTTTATCACAAAATGCGGGCGACGGTGGCACAGGAGTTAAGTGCTCCCCCCGTAATCAGAAGGTTGCAGGTTCGAGCCCCACTCAGTCTGTCGCTGTCGTTGTGTCCTTGGGCAAGACACTTAACCCCCCTTGCCTGCTGGTGGTGTTCGGAGGGACCGGTGGCGCCTGTGCTCGGCAGCCTCGCCTCTGTCAGTGCGCCCCAGGGCAGCCGTGGCTACATAGTAGCTCATGCCAACCAGTGTGTGAATGTGTGTGTGAATGGGTGAATGACTGATTGTGTTGTATAGCGCCTTGGGGGGTTCCAGGACTCTAGAAGGCGCTATATCAAATACAGGCCATTTACTATATATGCTACTTTTTGAGAAGGACCTGTATAGGTGAAAATTGACCCTTTCTGGATGTTACAAACACTACTTGGTGTGTGTGTGTGTGTGTGTGTGTGTGTGTGTGTGTGGGTGGGTTGGTGTTGGGGTGCGTGTGTGTGTGTGTGTGTGTGTGTGTGTGTGTGTGTGTGTGTGTGTGTGTGTGTGTGTGCTCTGTCTTCTCGATCCCCAGTGAGTCGTGGAGGATGGCTGCTTATACTGAGCCAGGATTCTCTGGAGGTTTCTTCCTGTTAAAAGGGAGTTTTCCTCTCCACTGTCGCTGCATGCTTGCTTAGTATGAGGATTGCTGTAAAGACTCTGACACTAGTCAGTGACTCGATGCAACCTGCTGGGTTCCTTTTATAGGAAACTTTTTACTGATTGGCTTAATGACCTGACCTGTGTTGGAATATTTACGAAGTGCCTTGAGATGACTCTTGTCATGATTTGGTGTTATAAAAATAAACTTCAATTGAATTGAATTGAATGAGCTCCAGAACCGGATGCAGTTAGCATCCACAAAATTACCCTGGACATGTTCTGCCCAATTTTGGGTAGAAAGGAGTATTTTGTCATGGTCTGTGTCTTCCTTCATGTGTCTCCTGATGTTTCTTCATCCCTCTCTAGATTCCCTTCTGTGTCTCATAGCGCCCTCGTGTCTTTTGTCTGCGTCTCAGTTAAGTGTCTTATGTTGTTACCCTTTAAATCATTCCTCCCAGGTCAGCTCCAGCCTCTTTGTCCCCAGCTCAGTGTATGTGTGTGTGAGTGTATGTGTGTGAGTAAGTGTGTATGTGTGTGCGTGTCCTCCCCAACTCGGTGTATGTGTGTGTGTGTGCTCCTCCAGCTAGTTTGAGCCCTTCCCTCTGTCTTTAGATAATTGTTGTTTAGTTTTGTGTTTAGGTATTTGCCCTCCTCTGTTTCTGTTTTCCCAGTTAGATTATCATATTCACCTGTCTTCCCTCCAGCCTTCACTCCACACACCTGCTGCCATTTTCCCTAAGTACTCCTCCCTGTGTATTTAAGCCCTGTCTTGTCTCTGTCTTGTGTCGGTCCATTGTGGTAATCCTGTCAAGCCTTCTCCAGTCTCTAGCATTTTGAATCTCAGTCTTTTCTAGTCTTTTGTGTTCTTGTCTCTAGCTTAGTTATTGAACATCTTTGGACTTATTGGCTCCCTGCCTTTGGATCTATTTTTGTTGTTCTGGGCTCATCCAAATAAAGGATATTTTCTTATATCACCTCCTGCCTCGAGTCGTCTTGGGTTCCTGCATTTTGGGTCCTCCCAACACCGCAACGTGACACATTTTGGGAATGGGTGGGAAAAGGATCCCTTTAGACACCCCCATGAAGTCTCTGCCCAAAATTTTAAAATGGGTGATCAAAACCTTGTCAGCGTGTGTCTATGTGCGTGTATGTTTGTGTGTGCGAGCATGCATGCATGTGTATTTCTGTAATAATCTGAATTTGTATGTGATGATCACCCTAATCTGGGACTGCCCCTCCCTGGTCAAAATCCCTTTTCTGTTGATTCTTCTGATTGACTAAAGTTGCTCCTGGGGTGCTTGGATCAGTGGATCACGTGCAGCTCATCATCCGCCTCCCCTATTTATCATTTTTCTCACATCCAGGCTTGACTATTGTAATTCTGTTCTGACAGGGGCTAGTAGGGCATAAACAATATGAGGTTGGTGCAAAATGCAGCAGCATTCAGAATCCATTTGAAGTTTTTAGTCTTTGTTTTTAAAGTTGTATCTGAGGAGACACCGGTCGATCTTCAGCCACCGGTAAACCGCTCCAATGCGTTCGCTGCTTTCCGCAGTCCTGTGTCTGTGGTCTACACTGAGCTATAACCTGGGCGAGCCTTCTAAGTGGTTGGGCCCTGGCTGGGGAATGCTCTGCAGTTTTTAAATTAGACTGAAGACTCATTTCTATTCTTTAGCTTAAAGGTTTCTCAGCTTTAACACAACTAATTTTAACAGGCTTAATTATTACGGCATAATTCGTCAACCTTCTGAACGGGTACTGTTGAAACAGGTGCATTAGAAAACAAAATCTTTCCACTTTTACAAACCGGTAAGACAGAATTTCTTCTGAATGTTTACAGTCTTCAGCCTTTCTAAGCAGGCGATAGAGAAGAAAGCCTTTTAGAATCAGCTGATTTATTTTATTCTGAAGGAACTGCAGGTTCACTGATGTCATGTAAGTAGGTATGATATTGTTTAAATCAACACGGCATTCAAATACCTGATCAAACACATTACATCATGTATGCTGTTACTACATAATGGCAAATGTAAATTCAAAACATTTTGATGTGTTACATGTTTGTAAATCATATCTCATAGACTGTGTTACTTCTGACAGGCACAAATGAGGAGACACATGGCAATAAAGGCCCAGAGAATCCCAGCTCGAATGACTGAGAGCCAGACGAAGAGTTTAATCTGAGCTGCCTGGCGTTCGGTGTTGTGCCCGATGAACAGCTTGCTTCCACTACCAAGGACTATTTGTCCACAGGAGGCCACAGAGCAGTAATACGTTCCAGCATCCGAATAGCTCAGATTGTTCTTCTGTAATAGGTAGAGACATCTCAGCGAAGGCGATTGGCGACCAGAGACAGGTTGACACTGATCCGTCTGTGTGTGGAGGGGTTGTTGGTAGTAGCCATCTTTGAACCAGTAGACTATCTGTTCACCATGACAGCACTCCGTGCGTACTGCACATTTAAAAGTCACAAAATCACCTAGCTGGACCATCTCAGATGTTGGTTCTTGAAGAATTTCCACATGGTTGGGTTCTAAAAAGTCAAGTGAAACAAAAATGAATTGCTTTGTGTAAAGTTGCTGAATTCAGTCAGACAGTATGATTTCCTCAAAACGGATCATCTCCTTTAAAACTAAGAACATTTAAAGTTTGTTTGACTCAAATCTTGATTTATTTCCCTTTTTGAGGTGGTACATGTGCACAGGAAGCATCACGAGCTATGGAGTCGTTCCTAGTTAGCTGCTAATGAAACAAGGGTTAACATGAACAACCAGCAAGGTCGAGTACCCCAGTGATATTTGTAATAGAGCTCAGGAGCAGGGGTCAGAGCGTGTTGTCCACTAGCGCGGGATCACAACGCCTTCTTCCTTTCCTTTGTGCATGTAGAAAAAGTGTCCGATGTTTGAGTCCAGCTCAGGAAAAATGGGAGCAAAAACAAAAGTGTTGCGTTTATATTCTTGTTCGGTGTAATCAGTAATGGGATTGCAGCAACAGTTGGCCCTTCCTGCACCACTAGGTCTTTTTATGTAAATTGTGTTACATCATAAAGCATCAAGTTTAAAAGTTTATGTGTGTTTTTAAAATCTATGAACTACAGTTCAACGTGTACTCACTTTCAAAAAGGAATTTCCCTTCATGTCTTTTACTGAGCTGTGACTGATGGAAGGAACACATCACAACCAGTAAATAACAGAAACTATACCTGCAACACTTAAAAAGACTCCGTCACCAAACTCCATCGTGTTGGAGTAGGAGCTTCCACAGAAGTAAGATGCTGAATCTGACAGGTGTGTGTCAGAGATGAGTAAGTGATTCGCTCGGTTCTTCACTTGTACAGAAAAGCGGGGGTTGTTTTCCAGCTGGTGGGATGTGTCGGATGTGTCGCCATATTTGTAAATGACAGACAGGATCTCAGGTTTCCTTCCTAAGGTTTGTCGGTACCAGGAGACGTGCATCGCCAGCAGGCTGTCGCAGAAGCAATGTAAGGTGATGTTTTCTCCAACTGCGACGGATCTCACACCCGTGTCCTGGGTGACCGGCTCTACCCGGATCACAGCTGAAAGAAGAACTCCATCATGTTAGAGCAACCGTTAGCATCATCAAAAACTACGACTTGAGTCTTATGAAACTTACAGATTCCACAGAAGATCACCAACAGTAGCATCATCTCAGAGCTCATGAGGACTGGTTGCATAAGACAGCTGACAGCAGCATAATAACTAGGTTGCCTTTGATAAGCCAATGAGAAGATCAGACTATGTGACTTTTCTAAACCTCAGGAGGAAACAAGTTAATGACCAGAAATAGAAAAAATACGCTATTATTCAATGGATGATGTTTCTCTGGTTTGAAACTGCCTGGTTAGCCTATTTTTACAAAATTAAAACAAGTAAAAAATCATGCCTGTTGTTGGAGATAAATGAGAATGATCTGTGGTGACTAATATTTCTCCTCTATGTCTATAACATGAAGGTTCGGGCTACATTTACCATTAAACATCTATTATACAGTAGATTGTGTAAGATCAGATCAGATAATGTGCAAAGACTTACTTTGGACGTTCTACAGACGTGGTCTGGACCAACGGACTCAATATAGACATGATCTGCACGTCCATGTGACGTTGACTGTTTGCAGGGATAAGAAGCACTTTAAATAAAATTTCACAGCATCTGTCTGCATTCCTTCATGGGGGTTTTAGTCGCTTGAAGATCAAGGCTACCAGGGCGTCAGATTCAGATAACAAGACTTTGTTTGGGTCAGGCTGAGATCATTTTCCTCTCTGCCTTCAGTCTATAAACTGATCATTTCCAGTCCTTCAGTGAAGCCAATTTTGGGTTTTAAGCTTGTCCATACCGTCCGGTGACTCTCTCCGAGATGACATCCATTTTGTGCACTAATGCCGGTATCGCAACTAGAACATTGTTCAGCTTACGATTCACCTCAAGTAACGTCCCAGTCTGAGAAGTCTCCACATGGACGGTGCTTTCCGTGGGTGCGGGTCGCCCTCCAATCGCTCCCGTCTTCCCAAATTTCCAGAAAACCAGATATCCTAATTCCATGCTGTAGTTCTTTTTTAAAACACAGAACAGTTTTGTTACCAGTTTTTCCGCTACGTTTCGTTTGAGGCTGCAAACTTCCTCAGGCTGACCAGCCACAAACGAAACGTAGCGGGAAAACAGGTAACAAAACTGTTCTGTGTTTTAAAAAAGAACTACAGCATGGAATTAGAAATACGACATAGCAAGAGCACACCTAAGATGTTCAACTAGTTCAGCTCAGTTAAGGTGTGTGTGGTTTATAAATGCGCCTATACTGTATGAACGAATTCTCAAACTGCTGATTGAAACATGGGTCCCTATTCTAATACGCCGTTTTATGTCCACTTTGATGTCAGAAACCATTCGTTTATTCTCATGAAAACGGGCAGCATTCTGTTTTTCTGTGAATAAATTCACTCTGCAGTTAAAAAAATACAGCATTCATCGCTGTTTTGTTTTCTAACTGGAGAGCGCATTTTCAGAGCGGCAGATTAAATTTAGAAACGCTTAATTAATTGGAAACGTTTATTTAATCTGCCTCTCTGAAAATGCGCTTTCCAGATAGAAAATTAGAACGCTGCTTTTTTTCTAATTGCACAAGAGCGCATTTTCAGAGCAGATTAAATTTACAAACGCATCCAATTAATATAGTGTTCATAAATTTCATCTGCCGCTCGAAAAATACGCTCTGTTAGAAAAAAAAGCTGCATTGATGCCGTTTTTCTTTCTTTTCTTTCTTTTTTTTTTTTTTACTGCAGAACGCTTCCCACAGATAATTAGAACGCTGAGCACCCTATCACGCTAAAACATTATGAAAGGTTAAAAAAAAAGTCGGGCCGGCCCGGACACGGGCTCAGATTTTAGGCCCGTGCAGGGCTCTACTGTGGGTATCCAGGAATCAGCAGAGCGTCTGCGAGTTTGACACCCACCACTCTCCTGTTGCAGTCAGTCAGCTGGATCTGCGCATCTCCCTTCCTCTTTACGCTGCCGGTGATCCGGGTCCCGTCTGCCAGCTGCATGAAGTGGTTCTCGGGCTGAAACGTCTCATCGAATCTGATGAAGGCTCCCTCTTCGGTGATAATGTGGGCCGATGCTCCGCTGTCTACCAGTAGGCCTTGCTCCTCTGCTCCGTGAGGCTTCCACTCGCTCAGCCGTAGTACATACTACTCCTCTTCCTTTGCGGGCTTTCGTTTGTCTTTGGTGTTGTGAATGACCTGTCCGGTGTCAATGACGGTGACCACCTTGTTGCTGCTGTGAGCGCCAACCACTTTTTGCCATAGCTTCTTGTTTTTGACTGTGCAGTCTCTGGCTTTATGTCCCATCTTCTCACATATAACACACTCTCCATAAAAGTACCTCTTTTCCTTTGTGAACTTCGGTTTGGATGTCTTGTAACTCGCTGCCATCACTTCATCTGAGCGGGGTTTGCCTCTGTATCGGAGAGTGCACTCGAAACTTCTTAGCCTAGCTTTGAACTCGGCGAAAGTTAGCGTCTCCCTGGTCTGCGTAGCATGCACAGAAAACAGGTCATATTCATGCGTGAGTCCTTTAAGTACCATCGCTACCAGGAGGGCGTCACTCAGAGTCTCTTTAGCTCTGTTTAGAGTGGCCACTATCTTTTCCACACGTGCTAGGTAGTCTGCTAGCTCTTCGCCGTTAGCCATTTGCACATTGTTTAGCTCTGTGTACAATCCGAAGATTTGCGGTTTTTCTTCTGACTCGAAATGGTGCCTCAATATTTCTAGGCTCTTCTTGCCATCATCCGGTGCCTCATAGAGGATTAAAGTTGGCGTTTTGTCATCCAGACAACCACACAGTTCTGCATATGCCAGTTCATTTTTCCTACCGAATTCTGCGGCTTCTTGTGCGTCGTTAGCTCCCGTTGCTAGCTGTCTTCCCAGGATAACCTCCTTGAGGCCGATGGTTTTCATATATGCTAAAAACCTTTTCTCGCTGATGTGATAGCGGGCTTCCTCCCCGTGAAACCACGGCGGTAATCCTCTTCCATGTACCACCGTATCCGGGACTTGTCTGGGCCCATAACCTGTTGACATTGCAGCTTCAGGTTAAAAGTTAAGTTAAAGTTAAAGTCCCATTAGTTGTCACACACACTGATGTGTGTGCGAAATTTGTTCTCCGCATTTGACCCATCCCCTGGGGGAGCGGTGAGCTGCAGACACAGCCGCGCTCGGGAACCATTTGGTGGTTTAACCCCCCCGATCACACTCTTAATGCTGAGTGTCAAGCAGGGAGGCATTGGGTCCCATTTTTTCAAAGTCTTTGGTATGACCCGACCAGGAATCGAACCCCTGATCTCCCAGTCTCAGGGTGGACACTCTACCACTAGGCCACTGAGCTGGTGGTCCACCTATCACGGGAGTCAAACCACCTCTGGTCTTGGTATCCGTCATACTGATCTTGTGTTATCCGCTAGCTATACAAAACCACAGGAGTCATACTTGGCACTCTGTAGAAGCCACACTGCCCCAATGGCCACTCAGCTCAGCAAAAGGGGAGGCCCCGCCTTTATTGAATAACGCGGAACTCATATCGCGTGTAACCTTACGCTTGACAAAATAGAGCCCATGACATTGTGGCAGAAGCATCGTATTCTAGCACACGCCATCTTTGATATGGATGCTCTGACTGGGGTAAAGGACTATTTATGTGTCAGAGTTTAACTTAACCTTACTTTGTTCTTGTGTGAGTGCAAACGGTGATGACCTTGCTATGTAAACATGCTGGAACATATTTCAATCATTGTAATCATAACTTCATTCATTGAGCACAGATTAATGAAGCATTTCATTATAATTATTATAAGTAGCAATAAACAACATTTATTTAATGACTATCTTGCTTATAATTTGTGGAGAAGTTCATATTGATTTAGGAAATCATTCTTGATTTAGCAACTTATCCGAGCTGGAGTGTTCCTTATATGGAGGCATGAAGACCTGAAAGACGACAAGGAAAGCTTGAACCTTGAGAAGAGAACATTATTGTTGACAATTCGTTATCTGCAGTGTTGGGCAAGTTACTTCAAAACTGTAATTTATTATTTATTACTTGTTACCCTCATTTTAAAGTAATTCATTACATTACAATATTACTAATTTTTTGTAAGGCATTACACTACTTTTGCATTACTTTAAGTTACTTTCACCAATACAACTTCAATATGAATCTGGTCATGTGACGCTCAGTGAGCTCATGACATATATGTGGAAGGTGATGTGGTGTCTGAGCTAGGATTGCTGTTAAAAACAGTCAGATATAATAACAGTGCTTTAAAATGATTGTTTATTAAATAAAAGCAACAACAATCTGTACTCTCAGCACGCTGCCATCTTATATTAACTGAGCAGGGAGTGAGGTGGTGGGGGCTCCAAGCCTATATTTGCCTTGGTCCCCAAATGCCTTGATACGGCCCTGGATGTGGGACTGACCTCTGGGGTGATCTGATTCTATCACATGTATAAATATTAAATGTTTATATATATTATTGCTTTTCACTGGTAAAAATGTGTATTGGGGATAAATCTACCTACTTTTTTTTCTTGATTTTCTCGTCTCGTCTTCCTCCGCTTATCCGGGTCCGGGTCGCGGGGGCAGCATCCCAACTAGGGAGCTCCAGGCCGTCCTCTCCCCGGCCTTGTCCACCAGCTCCTCCGGCAGGACCCCAAGGCGTTCCCGGACCAGATTGGAGATGTAACCTCTCCAACGTGTCCTGGGTCGACCCGGGGGCCTTCTGCCGGCAGGACATGCCCGAAACACCTCCCCGGGGAGGCGTCCAGGAGGCATCCTGACCAGATGCCCAAACCACCTCAACTGGCTCCTTTCGATCCGGAGGAGCAGCGGTTCTACTCCGAGTCCCTCCCGAATGTCCGAGCTCCTCACCCTATCTCTAAGGCTGAGCCCGGCCACCCTACGGAGGAAACTCATTTCAGCCGCTTGTATCCGCGATCTCGTTCTTTCGGTCATTACCCAAAGCTCATGACCATAGGTGAGGATTGGGACGTAGATCGACCGGTAAATCGAGAGCCTGGCTTTCTGGCTCAGCTCCCTCTTCCCCACGACAGATCGGCTCAGCGTCCGCATCACTGCAGACGCCGAACCAATCCGCCTGTCGATCTCCCGATCCCTCCTACCCTCACTCGTGAACAAGACCCCGAGATACTTAAACTCCTCCACTTGAGGTAGGACCTCTCCCCCGACCCGGAGGTGGCAAGCCACCCTTTTCCGGTCGAGAACCATGGTCTCAGATTTGGAGGTGCTGATCCTCATCCCAGCCGCTTCACATTCGGCCGCGAACCTACCCAGCAAGAGCTGAAGGTCAGAGCTGGATGAAGCTAGGAGGACCACATCATCCGCAAAAAGCAGAGACGAGATTCTCCTGCCACCAAACTCGACACACTCCACACCACGGCTGCATCTAGAAATTCTGTCCATAAAAGTGATGAACAGAACCGGTGACAAAGGGCAGCCCTGGCGGAGTCCAACCCTCACTGGGAACAGGTCCGACTTACTACCGGCTATGCGGACCAAACTCACGCTCCTCTGGTAAAGGGACTGAATGGCCCTTAACAGAAAGCCACCCACCCCATACTCCTGGAGCGTCCCCCACAGGGTGCCCCTGGGGACACGGTCATAAGCCTTCTCCAAATCCACAAAGCACATGTGGATTGGTTGGGCAAACTCCCATGCCCCCTCCATCACCCTTGCAAGGGTATAGAGCTGGTCCACAGTTCCACGGCCAGGACGAAAACCACATTGCTCCTCCTCTATCTGAGATTCAACTATCGATCGGACCCTCCTCTCCAGTACCTTGGAGTAGACCTTTCCAGGGAGGCTGAGGAGTGTGATCCCCCTATAGTTGGAACACACCCTCAGGTCACCCTTCTTAAAGATGGGGACCACCACCCCGGTCTGCCACTCCCTAGGAACTGCCCCCGATGACCACGCAATGTTGTAGAGACGTGTCAACCATGACAGCCCTACAACATCCATTGCCTTGAGATACCCAGGACGAACCTCATCCGCCCCCGGGGCTCCGCCGCTGTGTAGTTGTTTGACTACCTCAGCAACTTCTGCCCCCGAGATCGGACAGTCCATCCCCAGGCCTCCCAGCTCTGGTTCCTCCTCGGAATGCGCATTGGTGGGATTGAGGAGCTCCTCAAAGTATTCCTTCCACCGTCCGACTATAGCCTCAGTTGACGTCAGCAGCTCCCCATCCCCACTGTAAACAGTGTGAGCGAGTTGCTGCCTTCCTCTCCTGAGGCGCCGGACAGTTTGCCAGAACCTCTTTGGAGCCGATCGATAGTCTTTCTCCATGGCCTCACCAAACTCCTCCCACGCCCGAGATTTTGCCTCGGCAACTGCCACTGCTGCACCCCGCTTGGCTATCCGGTACCTGTCTGCTGCCTCCGGAGACCCACAGACCAGCCACGCCCTGTAGGCCTCCTTCTTCAGCCTGACGGCTCCCCGAACCTCTGGTGTCCACCAGCGGGTACGGGGGTTGCCACCACGACTGGCACCGGCCACCTTACGACCACAGCTAGCAACAGCCGCCTCGACAATCGCAGAGTGGAACAAGGCCAACTCGGACTCAATGTCCCCCACTGCTCTCGGGACGTGGTCAAAGCTCTGCCGGAGGTGGGAGTTGAAGACCGTCTTGACAGGTTCTTCTGCCAGGCGTTCCCAGCAGACCCTCACTATGCGTTTGGGTCTGCCAGGTCTACGCGGCATGTTCCCTTGCCATCTGATCCAACTCACCACCAGGTGGTGATCAGTTGACAGCTCCGCCCCTCTCTTCACTCGGGTGTCCAAAACATACGGCCGCAGGTCAGATGATACGACTACAAAATCTATCATCGACCTGTGACCTAGGCTGCCCTGGTACCAAGTGTACCGGTGGGCATCCTTATGTTCGAACATGGTGTTCGTTATGGCCAAACTGCGGCTTGCACAGAAGTCCAATAACAAAACACCGCTCGAGTTCAGATTAGGTGGGCCGTTCCTCCCAATCACACCCCTCCAGGTCAAGCTGTCATTGCCCACGTGAGCATTGAAGTCCCCCAGCAGGACAATGGAGTCCCCTGATGGAGCACTATCTAGCACTCGTCCCAGGGACTCCAGAAAGGGTGGGTACTCTGAACTGATATTTGGCCCATAAGCACAAACAACAGTCAGGACCCGTTCCCCGACCCGAAGGCGCAAGGAAGCTACCCTCTTGTCCCCCGGGGTAAACCCCAACACACAGGCAGAGAGTCTCGGGGCTAACAAAAAGCCAACCCCAGCTCTCCGCCTCTCACCCGGAGCAACTCCAGCAAAGTAGAGTGTCCAACCCCTCTCCAGGTCTCGGGTTCCAGAGCCAATGCAATGTGTCGAGGTGAGTCCGACTATATCTAGCCGGTACCGCTCAACCTCTGCCACAAGCTCCGGCTCCTTCCCCGCCAGCGAGGTGACGTTCCATGTCCCAAAAACTAGTTTTCTTGTCCGGGGATTGGACCGCCAAGGCTCCCGCCTTGGTCTGCCACCCGATTCACATTGCACCGGACCCTTCATGTTCCTCCTGCGGGTGGTGGGTCCACAGTTGGACGAGCCCATGTATCCGGTTCGGGCTGGGCCCGGCCGGGCCCCATGGGCGAAAGCCCGGCCACCAGGCGCTCGCTCACGGGCCCCAACCCCAGGCCTGGCTCCAGGGTGGGACCCCGGTAACCCTCCGGGCCGGGTACTCCGACTCTTCGTTTTAACCGCCATGAAAGATCCTTCGAACCGTTCTTTGTCTCACCCTTCACCTAAGACCAATTTGTCATGGGAGACCCTACCAGGGGCACTAAGTGCCCCAGACAACCTAGCTCCTAGGATCATTAGGGCACGAGTTTCTTGATTTTATTTGAATAATTTCCGGCCCTTTCTCTCTCTAACCTCCCTGCATGCTGCATGTTTTCTCCGTCTTCTAGAAAAAAACTGTAAAATAGATTTCCTACTTTCTAACGATCAGCCAAAGGGATCTTCACATGCGCGGCGCTCCAGCAGTAATGAGTTGAAATCACCGGGGCACAGATTATGAACTCAGCTGAGGCAAAGCACATCAGAAAAGCACAAAATACCAGAGAACATGCGCTGATATGAACGATCGCAAGTGAATTATTTTGTTTTAGTGGAGCGATTTTGTGAATGTTGCAGCGGCCGCGTGCAGGACGCAGTTGAGCCGTTACTGCGGCGTCCTCTCTGCCCGCAAAGCTGAGTCCATAAATGACGTAATATATGCAGATACCGGATCTTTCTTCGGGTTTCCCGCAATTTGAATTTTTAAGGAACACATCTTGATTCTGGGTTTAAAAATGCATTGTAATTACCGCGTTACTGACAATTGTACAGAGTAAATATTACCATTTTCTTTCCCTGTAATGCCTTACATTACCACATTACAGCAAAAAGTAATGCATTACAGTAATTAATTACTTTTGTACCGCATTACTCCCAACACTGGTTATCTGTGTTCAGAGCTGCAGAGGCTCTGAGCTGATGGGATGAAGGCAGGCCAATTTAAAGGGAACACATGTAGTCTTGTGTCTCCCTTTTGACCAGATGTTGAATGGCCAAACTGTACCTAAAAACTGACCATTGCTGGACGTTACACACACAAAATGAAAATATAGTTTTTTACAGTTAGGTTAGGGTTAGGTGCCATGCCATCACATGTGAAACCTGTGACTACACTCGCTTGCTTGTCTTCACAAGCCCAATTACTGCTCTGTGTAGAAGACCCCGGCTGAATGTGAATGCTAAATTTGAATGAAAGCTTAGAAAATAAAAACAGACATACAAGTCATGGGAGTGATTTATTTCAAGATGCAGGTTCAGTGTGCTATGCTTCCTGAAGAGAACGCACATCAGTTTAATCAAAACAAACAGATAAAAAAGGAAAGCAGTGTGGCACAAATCACAACGTCTGTGTCATCATTGGTGAAGGTCCTTGACCGGCACAAGTGGAAAACTATCACCCCTCATTTTCCCTTTTGTTGAAGGGACATTGATACAAAGACCATACCTCACTAAAAAAGCAGGATCAAGACGAACGTGAGCAGAATATGTACAAAAGATTATTTAAACCAGAGTGAGCAAATCCACCTGCTGTTGAACATGGGGTTAACCAAAGACAGGTCTTGATGATAATGGTGGTTTTGGTGACCTCCAAGGTCCTCAACCCAAAGACCTTTTGATTTAGTTTGTGTAATAGTTCAGCTCCTGTATTGTACTCCTTGATTAGTGCAAACACAAAAGAAAACTGAAAACAAAAACACTAAGCAGTGTTTAACGGAAAAAAAACTTGATGTGTATCAAAAATATCCGTATATAATAATCAGTACCATATTCAGTAACTGTGAGTGCCTTTTTAGACAGTGAACTCGTTTCTAGTATACAATCAAACTTTTGAAGATAAATCTCACTCATGAGACAAAAATAGTGAAAACAGATCAAGCAAGAAGCTGTGATGAAACTGGAAAGAGCAAGATTTGGTGTCAGTTCGAGCAAATCCACGGGCAAATTACTTCAGGAAGAAAGAAAGAAAAAAAAGGCGATATTTTGGTAGTAGTGTAAAACACACACATGTCGATGAGAATATTTACAAGGTGGAGTTGTTTGTTCATATTTACACATTTACATAAAACAAACCAACCCTTTAAGAAGACGTGATTCCACCGTGGGCTACGCCTAATATAGGCTGATACTGAATACATCTACTACCTTCTTCTCAGTGGTGGAAAACATTTCTCTTGAGGTCGGATTCTGCACTGACCAAGAGAACATAAAGAGGAGAAGGAAAAAGGGCCATAATTATATTTAAAAAAAGAAGAACAAATACCTAAACATGTTAACAGATGTCACCAAGCAGATCTAGACTTGCAGTTTTAGGCACCATGGGACAGACAAAGGATTTGAAATAACAATCTTAAAACGACTCTAGAAGAATAACAAAGCTGTGAGTACAACAGGGTGTGTAATCCCAAGAAAGAGTGGAGTACATGTGAGTGGAAATGTAAGAAAGTGCAACACCGCCCTCTTGTGTTTGCATGCCCTTCATGTGCAAAGCCACAAGGGTTTATCAAACTGTACATTCCATTGAGATTATTATTGCCTTGAAAGGGAGAGAAATGGAGTGGTACTTTTGAGGAGAAATGAAGAAAACTTCATGAGGAAGATTAAAAACTAACATAATGCAGCTTTCATTTAGAGCTCAGACACCAGCTGATGGCAGTAGCCTCGATTGTTCAACTGTCTCTTACAGGAAGCCAGTGGAGTGAGTACGTGATGGCTATTTCAAACAGTAACAGATAGAAAATGGACTTGTTTAGATTTTTTTTTAAAGCACAGACAAGCCACCCAAACCTCAAACGTAAAAAAAAAAATGTTTGGAGATGAGATGAAAAGGAGGAAAAGTATACGTCACAAACACAGATCTGAACAAATCACATCCAAAATTATGCAAATTAAAGAGGTCAAAGGGTGGACAGGAAGTCTCCAGTGGGATTTGAGGGTGGGAGGAAGGCAGAGTCCCTGTGCTTGTTAGCTGGCTCGGCTCGGCCGGGCTAGCTCGTCAGCGTTGCCACGGAAGCCATCAGCTGGTCAGGTAAGTGTGTAATTCTCTGGAGGTGATGCTCAAGACCACACCTGAGTGGTTGCCTGGAGACAGGTTAGAATAAGAAACAGACAAGCAAATGAGCAACAAGTAAATGTTGGAAGAATAAGGAATGCCTAAAGAAAGACCAATAAAAGTGAATGTTTGAGTAATGGGCCCAACCCAGCATAAAGACTGTCAAATGTTCTTGTTTAATTAATTATTGTTCAAAATATTGGGTTAAAAACCATTGAATGTTTCTGCTGATCAACAAACACCAAGTCAATATATTCACTAATGTTATTTTTGGTTGAATGACATCACTCAATGACATGTAATCAATACTTGAGGGAATAAATGTCCCACTTATGTTATGTTTTTTAAAACAGTGGAATTTCTTTGACCATTTTGGCTGTTCTGTGTTGAAATGACAGCAAACAAAAACAAATCAATATTGTACAGCATGCTAACCAGCATTTTTCATAGCCTTTGATCTATAGAGCTCCGGACGTCACGTGACTCTCAGAGTAGACGCCATGTTGGCAGGCAACAAAGGTAAGCAAAATGAACGGCATCGGCTTGGATTTTACTCCGTCGGAGTTTACTTCACATGAAAAAATCATTTTATATAGTCAGAAATTAAATCGACTAATCATCTCCGACCATTACCGTGCCCCTGGGATACTTTGTAAAAACGCCAGAAGCTGTCGGAGCGGACCTGGCCAGAGAACGCCTTGGGATTTACCCGGCGGAGCTGGCCCACGTGGCTGGGGAGAGGGAAGTCTGGGCCTCTCGACTTAGGCTACTGCCCCCGCGACCCGACTCCGGATAAGCGGATGAAAATGGATGGATGGACAAATAACATAGATTTACATGTAAGTAGTTTAAATAGAGTGCTGTGCTGTTTGAATGTATAAACTGAACGCCAAGAGAAATCACTAGTCTGATTTTTTTCCATGAATAAAATAAATATGTCAGGCAGGAGCGTCTCAGGATCTGTCTGAGATCTGACTCGGTGAGACAGATAATAGCAATCCAAAGTGCTTTTTATGTGTGATCTGACAATTGATCAACCGTTGCTTAAAAATGAAATACAGCTTAGCCGGTTAATTGCTGTGATCATAAAACACGTAAACGGCAGCACGCAGAAATCACGAGGCAACGTTTTACGTGATGTTTACTTGTTGCTATGAGTAATAAGACGGAAAAAGCCACGCCAAAATAAGTTTAGGAAGCCCACTAAGAATCGTAATAAAAGCATTTAAAATAAACACCATACACAGTTGAGGAAACGTTGGTTTAAGTACCTGATATGAAGCGGTCGCTGCATAAGCGAAAACCTTTACTCTCGGGATCCCACAGCTTCATTTTAGCCCGGACACTAGCGCGTTTTATTACAATGATCCAACGTTTGCGGCGCTCCGGATCTTGGGGAATCCTGTAGATGGCTCATTCCTTATGTCGTCAGCGTCTGTTCTGCATCCTGGGGCACAACAGGAATCTCCCATATTCCCCGTTTGATTGAGTTTTCTGACATTAACAAATAGCCCAGCTGCGGGCTTCTGCCTGCCAAGATGGCGCCGTTTTGATTTGAACTGTTGCATGCCGGGAGAAGTGACGTCAACTCCTGGAGCTCTATACATTAATTTTCCTCTGCTCGGGGTCAGGTCACGGGGGCAGCAGTCTAAGCAGGGAGGCCCAGACTTCCCTCTCCCCAGCCACTTGGGCCAGCTCTTCCGTGGGAGTCCTAAGGCATTCCATGGCTGGCCGAGAGACATAGTCCCTCCAGCGTGTCCTGGGTCTTCCTTTAGGTCTCCTCCCAGTTGGACGTGCCCAGAAAACCTCAGGGAATTGTCCAGGAGGCATCCCAATCAGATGCCAGAGCCACCTCAACTGGCTCCTCTTGAGAAGCAGCGGGTCTATTCCGAGTCTCTCACGGATGACCGAGCTACTTTCCCTATCTCCAAGGGCCAACCCAGCCACTTTGCACAGAAAACTCATTTTGGCTGCTTGAATCCATGATCTCATTCTTTCACACTCACAGATTGCCAGTCTGCCTCTGGCCAGAGCCATACATCAAGGTGAGACAACTATATCTAGCCAGAACCTCCCAACCTCACACAACAACTCAGGCTATTTCACCACAAGAGAGAGGTGACATTTTCACGTACGTCTGTAGAAGAAGGTCGGATCCATGCCTTCAGCTACCATTCATTTCACACTGCACCTGACCCCTCTGGCCCCTCCCACAAGTGGTGAGCCCATGGGAAGGGAGATCCACATCTCCTTTTTGGGCTGCATGTGGCCAGGCTCCATGGTTGAAAGCCCAGTCAGCAGGTGCTCACCAATGTGCCTGACGCCCTCGCTTGGTTCCAGATGGGGGCCCCAATGACCAGCATCCCGGTAAGGGAACACCGTTTCCACTTATAGTATTCATCTGATCCCTCACCTAGGACCTGTTTGCCATGCCTGACCCTACCAGAGGGCGTAAAGCCTCACACCACTTAGCTGCTATAGGATCATTGGGTCATGCAAACCCCTCCACCACAGTGGGGTGGAAGCCCTGCCATGTTCAGCCAAAAGAAGGCAAAGCCACTGAGGGAGCAGTGGGACTAGGACTGAAATACTGGCTTTAATATGAACACAAGCTCTTAGCATAAAAAAACTAAGAATTTGTATTGATTTGCACGTGGTTCACTAGGTGTACATAACTAAAGACAAGTAGAGTTCAAAAAGGTGTATTATTTTACAAACACTATTAGACCAAAACACTTGTGTGTTAAGTGCTGCAGAATGTTCCCAACAGGACTAGTATCAGGTACTTTCGTGTACGTTTGCTGATGATGTGGCTTAACTACAATACTGAGCTGCTGTGATGTTGGTTCTGGGCCGAATGGTTCAGGTCAGAAGCCACCACTGATCTCACCGATTCTTACCGTAATGGTTGTCGCTCCGTTTAATATGTTTGCCCCCATTTCATATGACTTTAAATTTTATTTCAGTTTCTTAGTTTACAGAACTGATAAATACAGCTCAGACTGATGTACACTGGGCAGCATGATTGTCCAGCATGTGTATTACCATGGTGATGAACACGTGTATTACCATGGTGATGAACACACGTGTATTACCATGGTGATGAACACATGTGTATTACCATGGTGATGAACACACGTGTATTACCATGGTGATGAACACGTGTATTACCATGGTGATGAACACATGTGTATTACCATGGTGATGAACACGTGTATTACCATGGTGATGAACACATGTGTATTACCATGGTGATGAACACATGTGTATTACCATGGTGATGAACACGTGTATTACCATGGTGATGAACACACGTGTATTACCATGGTGATGAACACGTGTATTACCATGGTGATGAACATTAAATGTATTTCTAACAATAACAGACATTTTAAAAGTATAGAAACGGAAGTCATCCAGTACCTTGGTTTCTGTTAGCTGCTGGAGTTAGTGGCTCGGGTTTTAGTAGTGGTGGTTAGTGGTGGTCCTGATGAGGGATCGGAAGGCGAGGCTGCTTCCTGCGCTGTTACCTAAAGTCTGTGAGTCCAGGTCATCGTCTATGAACTCCTCGCCTTGGATGATGTGCTGAGTATCCTCGCTGTGGTTTACAGGGCTGGTCATCTCCTGCTCCTTCTCGTTGTGCATCTGGGCGTAAATGTTGCGGTTGCCTGGAAGCTTCCTGAAAAACAGTGGGGGATAGGCGTCCTCAGTCCTAAGCCAAGGACTGTGGGATTTGTTGTTGTCATGAGAAGGGGCGGTATTCCGTACTGCATTCTAAATTCAAGTGACTTTTTGGTGAAAAGTGCTGTTCTAGAACCTGAAGCGTGATACTTGTGAGTTAATGGTGTAAACATAAAACATGCACAGAAAATATCTAGAACTAATCCTGTAAACTAAGCTAATGATGCATAACACAACTGAATCTATTCTAGATGAATGATTTTTATATAGTGAAAAATTATCCTATGAAACTATAAAATGTTTTATAATAAGAACGAGGAATGCGTGAAGCAGAAGGTCTGATCCAGAACACTTATTGCAAATTTATTGAACTTGTAGATATAAATACAGAACAGAAAATAGGAAATAGATGTGAAAAAGTTACGATGGGGTTTTTAAAGGTCACCTTATATTTTTATTACATTTGTAGCGGTTTCTAGCATGAATCCCTCGTAACTCGTACATTGTCTGGGGAATAAAAGCTCTGGTGCACCTGTTTGAGGATGGAGAAGTGAGCTGGAGGATTTAGAGTCTTATTTTCTAATATTTGGACATCTCTCCTCTAATCGGTTAACGGCAACGTGACTCTACCACTGATGACGTTTTATCTCCACAAGTAACACGAGTCTGAAGGAGTTCCGCGGTGTGGTGGAGTTGCTAATGCTAACGGTTAGATTTCGCTAGTTGAAATGTTCTCTGCTGTTTCCTGGATGCTGAACCAACAACAGCCTTCCCTGTCATGATGGGGTTAAGAGGGATGAGTCAAAAGCTAGAGCAGGAAATCGGGGTAAGAGACTATTTTCATGTTCAGCGTGCATGACAAACAGAATAACTGATCATAATCAGAAATTATAATTGAAATATTTAAAGTGAAGTTGACCTTTACAGGTAGCCTAATCAGTTTATTATAAAACATTCTCAGGAAATTGAAAAAAACAAGTTATTATCACAAGATTTAGTTATCTTTTGTATTGGTTTGAACTGACATGCTTCTTGCTGGCAAAGGCTCAAGGTTGTGTACATTTTAGGAGGTTCTAAAAAAGGAAACTGGACCTCTTTATGTTGTTGAAAACATTTCCTATATCCTACAAGGAACGCTCTATTTCGATGATAAAAAATGACATTGTGTCAAGCTTTAAAACTGAAGTTTATAAGATTAAAGTGACAATGTGTAGTTTTTCCCATTAATCTATGGAAATATCCATTGAAATTTTGTTGTAAATGAATTAAAAGATATCCAGTTGTTGAAAGATATTGATGGTTTTATAACACGTAACCATAAAAATCTGTTTTAAAATACATGGGAGAGGGTCTAAGTCTCTAGGCGACGCCATATTGGAAGCCATTTTTCTTCTAAGGAAGCCCGTGAGGACAGAATGCATTTACTGAATTGTAATAAATGGTTACAAAACTTTCAGCATTAATAAATGTTGTTTCACACGTCTACCTCTACACTCATTGCCAGTGATGAAAGGGAATCTGATGTTCTTGTTATTTTGCTCGAGGTTGCACTCCCAAGGATTTTTGACCTTAATGACCATCCGTTGGTACGGTTTTATTTGAACACAAATATAATGATTGCTTGCAATGATTTAGATAAGTATTGGCCCCTATCGCCAGGGAAACTACACACTGTTCCTTTAAAGAAATCCCCTGTGAACCTACTGGGTTTCCCATAAGGAACTGGTAGACATTACAACTCTTTAGCATAAGATAAAGCTCACCTTTTAAACTTATATAGGATGAAAGAGCCAATTGCAATGATGCTGATTAGGAAAACAACAGCTAGAGCCCAAATACCCGGACCTCCAACTGCTCCATGGTAGCCTGAAATCACAACAAAAAAATAAATAAATAAACCTATCAGAGTACATGTTTGCATGATGAAAGAAAAAAAAAGTGTAGAAAGAAAAGACCACATAAATGCAGTGAAAAGGGTAATTATGTGAGAAGGTACAGAGTCACAAGCTGAGAGTTAAAAGGCAGAAGAGTTCAGTATGGAGGAGGAACGTTAAAGCTCAGGTTTATTGTTGGTGAACGCACCATCGTCTGCCATCGCAGTTACTGACTCATTTTGAATTAGACCTATTCAATAGAAAAAAATCAGTTCCATTCAGTTTTTATGAAAACATGGAAGATAAAAAATCACGCGATGCACGTAGTATACCTGCGTTTGGATCTGCTAACATCACCAACACTCGCTGACCTCCTCGCACCATGAAGCTGATGTTTTTGTCACTGAAAGCCTGCATGATGGCTGGAATACGCTGAGAAGAAGAACATGTCCGTGTAGGTTACTTTAACCAGGGCATTTTGGTTTAAGCGTAAATGCTGCTCGAGTATTTGTACTCACCTTGTCCATAAATATACTCCTCTTGATCGGTTTGCTGTGGGTTGGTAGAACATAGAGGTCTGCAGAGGTGGGAAGACCTGGTTTCACCACAGTCACTAGGGAGTCCTGAGGTACACCTGTGGCCTGAGATCAGACGATGTGGGCTTTGTCACAAAACATCTTTATTGTGGTAAAAATATTCTCTGTGCCATCAGCCTACAACTGACTGACCAATACCATTTAAGAAGGCAGTGTTAATCAAACACAAGTGTTCGCTAGAAGTTAGTCGCTTACAGATATTGAATTAATTCAGCTGGATTCATTAGACCAACCTTAGCCAGAAGTCTGGTGACCACTTGGCCAACGTCATCCCTCCACTCTGGGATGTCCGGGTTAAATCGGTCCAGGTTCCTGCTGAAGGTCAGGGGAATGATCTGGAAATGATCTAGGAAGAGAATAAACAAACGTTGCAGTCCAAAACTCAAATCATAAGAGTTGCACAAAATAAGCCACAGCTTGTTTCCAGGAGTTCGAGAGGCAAATATGTTACAAAAGGCACAGATGCAGGGTATATACAGCAATCCCTAAGTAAAATTTACTACTTTTTAATACCTTTTTTTACTACCTTCAGAATATTTTTAAAACCATCACAACACTAAATTGCAAGTGTTAATCAGCGACCTATTTACACATATTTTAACATATATAACATACAAAAAGAATAGACTTAAGAGACTCACTGATGTTGACAACGTATTGCACATATTTATTTTACTTAGAAAATAAGCCAGGCACTTCTGTTCAGCGGTTCAGACAGTTGACCACGAGGCCTGAAATGATGCAGAACGACCACTGAATATGACGTCATCATTATGTGACGGATATGCTAAAGTAGGGCTGCTCGATTAAGGTAAAAACAATAATCACAATTATTGTGACTGAAATTGAGATCTCGATTATTTAAGATGATTTTTCAATTAATGTAGATATTTTATTTTATTTTTTTATTCAGTCATAAAATTGCTCAGGGCTAGAGCTGTGGCGACGCATCGATGACGTCGACGGCTCGATTCTAAAAATTTGTCGACGTCAGATCCGGTAGTCGACGCACCACGCCCACTTGTTGCATCCCCAGGAGTTTGTAAATGGAGGAGGAATCTGCCTGTTTTTCCTCTAGTTCGCCCTCTTCTCCGCCTTCACTAACATCGCCGCCAAATACCGAAGACCCGGAACGATGTCCGTCCACTACTAGATTATTTTCCTGTTTTGCCCGCCTTCGTCTCCCGGCAACGGACAAAAACTTCCGGGGTCAGATGTGCTGCTTTGTCTCTACCGCAGATGTAGAACATCACCGGGAGCGTTTCTCCCTTCATAAAGGAGCTTCTTTCAGACATTAGGAGAGCTGTTTTGGTGGTAGCAGTCTCTCCTCCATGCTGGTCTGTTTGCTGCTGGGTATTTTTGGTTTATTTAAACTTGGTAACTTGAATTTAACGTTGGTAAAGCTACTGTTAGCATTTTCGCTAACAGCTTCTTGCGTTTGGATAAGCGGTTACGTTTTGGTTTAGAGTTCATCTTTTTTGTGGTGCAGATCTCCCTTTTATTACATTTAGAGTGTTGTGGGTTTTCGGTTTAGTGTAAAATATCACCTCGAGTTTGGTTTAGAGTTTGGACCTTTGGAGATCCTTATTTTGGTCCAGAACCCTGTAATCGTTGCCCAGTGGGACATCCCAGGTTATTTGTACTTTTGTTTTAATTCCCCACAGACAGAATTAGTTTTATTATTCCCAACCTGTGGATGGAAATATTTATGTTTTTTTGTAGTTGTAAATAAACCTGATCATCATTTTAACTTTTAAATCCCGTTATTGTCCCTTCCTTTTTGCACACAAGCCAAACTCCCCAGGAAGGATCGTAACACCACTTGCCTCATGCACATAAGTGACCAAATCAAAGCAGCATGGAGACACTCCGTCTCCAACCACCTCTCAGGCAGCAGCCTGCACTCCCAAGTTCTACACGTCACCAGAACAAAACCAACCACAACACAATAAAAGCAGTGTTATACAAAATGGAAGGCCTGTAGTATTTATTCTCTTACAGTAACAATTTATCCATTTTTGGGAAGAATTTATTTGAGATTTTTTGGTTTTTATTAATTGTGCAATAGAAAAATATTCGCTAGATTAATCATCTAAATAGTCATTAGAATAGTCGACTATTCGATAAAATAATCGTCAGAATAATCATTTTAAAAATACTTGTTTACCCCCAGCCCTACTCAGGGCACAATCAGGGCAAAAATAAACAAGAAACAAGATGATCACTAAAATAACTCCTGATTCCCAGTATAAAAAGACCAATATACTTATAGCTCATAGTTTATGACCCAAGGGCTATAGACCTTGGTTTAACTCATTTAAGTCTAACCAGTACAGACCCAAATACCAATATCTTGCAAATACTGACAACAAGAATTATACAGTGGCATTTATAACAAATAAATGCAAATAAATTGATGTTCACAAAATGTTGCATAACATTTATTTAGTCGTGTCAAGGTGCTGTAGGAGCGTACACTAGCACCGTGTCCTCAGAGAGATTAGTTATCAGCGTGAGGAACTTATTTCTACCTTATTTATAAACTATTTATTTACAAGTCCATCAGTTAATGTAATAATTGTCTCAACCACAGCTGCACCCCCACCCCCCAACCCGGTCTCACAGCAATCAGGGGCAAGCTGCACGTGTGTTTAGCACGCAGCACGCGCACATTTAGCCGTTTTTAGCGGCTCAGGAGCCCGCAGGTACGGTGTGTGTGTCATTCACTCTGGTTAATCCAACAGAGAGCCGGCTCTGAGAGCCGTTTCTTTAGCGACCGACACATCACTACATCATTCCCTTTCCTAATGTCCAGAAGAACGGTCGGGAGCGCAGGCGGAGTGTTTAGCTAACCTGCAGGAAATGTCAACTACAGTTATCCAGAAAGTAGCTAAGGGTTACCAGAGATGTTTCTGAGGTGTTCGCTAGGTACTTTTAAGATTTAAAAAGTCAAGAAGGGGGTCTGAAAAGCTGTTGGAAATAGCGTCAAAGTCGCTAAGTTGGCAACACTGTGGGAGGAGCGCTTCATTTGCAACTCAGGGCAGCGCAAGCGGGAGGAGCAAATAATCGGCTTGTTTTGTTTTTATAATCGTTCAAAACATTTCATTCGGAATATATTTCTATGTTGATGTTCATAATACGACACCTGATAGTCTGAAAAAAATAATACCTAATTTGGAAAAAATAATACCTCTGAGACCAAATTTAACGCTTTTAATGGCCTTAAATTTGACTATTTTTATTTATCACTTTTTAATACTTTTTAAAACCCCGCGGACACCCTGAGTACACACTGTCGGCTGGGATTGGACAGATGTGGAAGACCGGTGTTCAGCTTGTGTAGAGAATTCCTTCTGCACGTCCAGATGTGCAGTGTTAGTAACAGATGGCAGCAGCTGGCTGATTTATGTGCAGACTGATATAGACCATACAACTACGATGCACCGCTAATGGAATCCAGGCCTGAAGCAGGCTCAAATTTACATAATCACACACAAAACCCACTTGACTGTTTCTACATTCAGTTCAAATAACATTTATCTTAGGATCAGATAATGCAATCATTCATATGGAGACAGAGATGAGCCACATCCATCTGAAATGTGTAATATGAGCATTTTTTAAATTTAAATCTAAATGTTACAGATCTGAGAAAAAGTGTTGCGTTAAATCTTTTACAGACACTCTCGGGATGAGATGTTGGTATTTAAGAGAGACAAAAGAGGATAAGAATTTTCTTCCAAACGTTTTTTCTCTTCAAAGGTTTTAGAGTTAAAATGAAAAGCAGCAAGCACCCACCTTAAAGACAAAGTCAAAAAAAGGGTATAACATATGTCATTGATTTGCTTTCATGCCTGTGCGTTAGGTTTCAAATCTGTGTCATTTAATCCCAAAGGATGAGAAATCAATCAATCAATCAATCAATCAATCAATCTGATTTTATTTATAAAGCGCTTTTCAAACAAAGTGCTTTACAAAATGACCCCAAATTCCCATAACAGTTTAAAAACATTAACACACACACACACACACACACACACACACACACACACACACACACACACACACACACACACCAGTAACAATTTATATTCGACTGAGTCTAGATGAGCCAAGTCAGATAAGGCAAGGAAACGCCATCAGAGGAGCCGTCTGCCCCAGCAGCATCAGGTCTTCCACACTTAAGCTTGGTTTATGCTTGACGCGTCCGCGAGGTCCGCACGGCTCCGCGCGGAAAAGTTGCGTCATTTTAACAACCACGCCCCTCCAACGCGCCTCCGCACGGCCCAGAATATCCGCAACGCGCACCTCGGAAAATTTCTAACCACGCGGACGGTCGGACGCAGAAAAACATGGCGGACCGGCAAGAACTAGTATGGCAGAGGTTGGTAAATACAGACATTTGTATGATTCAGCTCTCAGAGATCACCGTGATCAACATGTTGTTAATAATTCTTGGAGAGAAATATCTCGCACTGTCGGAAAAGACGAGAACGCTGTTAAAAATGCTGGAATGCCATGTTGTAAACAGTCATTTTTACTTCTACTATGGTGTAGTGTTGGATGCATGCTGTAGAGCTCCATGCTGCCCCCTACAGTTTGGGAGAATATTGGCTCACCGCAGAGACGAGCCGCATGAACCATAAACGCTGCGAGTTGTGAAGCGCGTTCCATCCGCGAGCCGCATCACCGCGCGGAAAGTGAATGCGTCAAGCATAAACCAAGCTTAAGTCAGGGCGCTCAGAGGAGGGGGAGCATAGACCCCCACCTCCACTTAAACACTACCTATAGAGCGCCCAGGAAGCAACAGTCAACCACCGCCCCCGGGGCAGAGGACCCCTACAGAGAAAACACTGGAAGCATAAACCTCCATAACAGCGGTAACTAAAAATCATTTTGTGTTACCGTAGACTCGAACAATCTTCACGTCCTGAACCATGGATCGGCCATTGGAAACCTGGACAGTGACTGGAACTTCTCCAGTTTCAGAGAAACGAGTCACAATGCTGTTCTGGAGGGTCAGGGTGGGCTGTGACAGAAAAATGCAAAGCTTAAAATAAAGAAACACCATCTGACACGTTCCTATTTGCTGTAGAGCTCTCAAAGCAATAAAATGGAGCCAAGAGTATCCCGATTTGTCCATCATCAATTATAAATATATATTTGTTGCTTTTTTGTAATGAACGTTTTAGAAAACATGTTTTAGAGGGAGCTTTACCTGCAGCTTGCTTCCTATCCACCAATAGAAGACGGTCAGGTTGGCCTCCATGGGCAGGACCACAGCTGTCAGAGTGATTTCATGGTTCTTCCTGGTGATTGGGACCACTTCCAGGTGCACTTCCTGTAAAGGTTCTGAACAGGAAGTGTATTTTTAATTCCTATATAAAAAGAAGGGCTTACACCACCAATTCAGGCATTTAAAACTCAACTCTACAACAAATTAAGCAAACCACCTCTCCCAACGTCTTCGTGGGAAATGAAAACAGCACTTTTCTGAGGCTTAACTCGGGGAACTTGGCTTTACATTCAGTTTCAGCCACACTGACGTGTGGTGGGTCTTCTGTTGTAAACACTAAGTGCTATACTGTGATCTCACAATCAAGTCCCTTTAGTCATCACACACCGGTGAAATGGTTCCCCACATTTGACTCATCCTCCGAGGAGTGGTGAGCGGCAGACACGTTGGGTCTTTGGTATGACCCGACCATGGATTTTGAACCCCGACCTCCCAGTCTCAGAACAGACACTCATACCAATGGAAACTGGATCTTTTATGGGCTCCCTCGGGTGAGTCAGTAAAGGTTGTCCAGGGGAGCCCATAGCTCCCCGGTTATTCAGACCCTGCCTCCTTTTTTTTTTTTTTTTAAGAAAATTGATTTATTTGCATCTCTATGGTGTATAGCGCATTGCCCCACTGACTAACATCCGTAACCATGCGACATCTGTAGCAGTCCAGTCACAGCTCAATGTGTTTGACGGTCCAATCACAGAGCTCTATCGGTTTGCTGGCCGGGATGTTACTGTTATGGGCCATTCCCATCTGTACCGGGTCGGCCCGGGCCGGGTAGCCCCAGACGGCCCCAGCCTGGCCCGGTTGATTCCACACATCCTTGTCTTAAGCCCATGTGGGCTGATTCTACCCACCAATCAGAGGCTTGCTCTAATGGAAGGTGTGAATTTGCTGTCAGCAGTGGGCGTGTTGGCCCTGGTCGGCCTGAAGCAGACCCCCTCGAGAAGAGGGCTGAGAATGAGCCTTGGTTGGCCCGGAAAAATACCAGGCCACCCAGATATGTAAACAACCTGCGCTACCCGGCCCGGGCCGACCCGGTACAGATGGGAATGGCCCATTAGTGAAACTATAATTGGGACGGCTCGTTTACAACGGCTTTAGCGTCATCTTTGGACTGTTTATGCTTGTTGTTTTCTTTAAGTCGAGAGCAGCTAGAGGAAGAGGTGTGGACTCGGATCACATGACTTGGACTCGAGTCATTATTTTAATAACTTCTGACTTGACTTGATAAAATCTATAAAGACTTATGACTTGACTCGGACTTGAATGCTAACGACTTGCGAATTGAATCAATTTGCATCTGATGACTTCATGATGACTTGAGCATATTTCATATTTAGCACAAAAGTGACTCGACATGGACAAGAATCATGAATCATTCTTCGTTGTGGGATTGATTTACTGCTGAATGCAGCAGCTCTTCGTTTAGAATCAGCTGCACTTTCTGCTTGTTTGAGTAAATAAACAAAGCTTTAATTCTGGAATTTATTTATTATCATCGTCATTAAATAGAAGTTGGACAGATGACTTGATTGTGACTTGAAAATTCAAAGTTAAGGAGTTGGACTTGACTTGGACTTCCACATCATTGACTTTGGACTTGACTTGGACTTGGTTGTCTTTGACTCAAGACTTGACTGGAAGGACTTGTGACTTACTTGTGACTTTCAAAGCAGTGACTTGGTCACACCTCTGGCTAGAGGTACTTACGTTTACTTAGAAAAAGGATGTATTAGTGTCTTCAACAGAGTACGGTGGACTGCCCCTATGACAGACATCTGGAGCAGTGAGTATGTCGCACTGTTCATCGTCCAATAGCGTGTGGAGACTGTTTGGACGACAGCCGTAGATTCCACCCAATGACTGAGATCCATCTATGGGTCGTGGCCAGACTGTTCACCTAGTGCCTAGTGGCTAGAGAGGCTCATGACCTCCAACCTTTAAGCTGTTCTCTGTAGTTTATTTACAACAACATATTTTTTTTACCTAACAACCCAAAAAAATATTTCGGAAGCAGGGAAATGTTTAAGTTTTAATTAATCTATCTTTATGGGTGTTAAAAATAAGCAATTTAACAGCAAAATGTTTGTCTTTAATTTCTCAGATTAAAAGAAAAATATATTCAGGAGGAATAAATGGGGAAAAACTAACAAACAAGAAAATAATTTCATATTTTATCTAAATTTATGACGTGTTGGACTGAGAGGCGGACCTGTGACCTGGATGTACATGGTGGCCTCGTCGTGTCCAGCAACGTTCTCGGCTTTCACAGTGACCTTATAAATGCCCGGGTTTCTGTAGCGGTGCTGAATGGGCTCATCGGTCACCGTCAGGTTCTGGTAAATGGCTCGAAACCCATCCCCCAAGTCCACCTGGTACTTGGTGCTGCTGGTGTCGCCCTATTAGACAGCAAAATAATACCCAGCTTTAAGCAGATTTTTAAAAAATGAAGGCATAAGATGACAATCGATTCCTCCTACCTGCTTCTGATGGACGATGAATGTGACATCATCACCAGGAGCCACGGCCAGCAGCTGCCCTTTAATGCCAACCTTTAGTCCTTTAGGGGGCAGCAGGGGGCAGTTGTGCTGCTTGGCACTTTGCTGCTTGTTCAGACCTCCTTCACATGTGTTAGAAATCACCTTCCTGTAGCTGATAACAAGCAGAAGACAGCACAAGTCTCAGATGAAGTTAGATGCAAAGTCAGGTTTAACAACAGTGTCTTCTCCATCCCCAGTGAGTTGTGGAGGATGGCTGCTTATACTGAGCCAGGATTCTCTGGAGGTTTCTTCCTGTTAAAAGGGAGTTTTCCTCTCCACAGTCGCTACATGCTTGCTTAGTATGAGGATTGCTGTAAAGACTCTGACACTAGTCAGTGACTCGATGCAATCTGCTGGGTTCCTTATATAGGAAACCTTTTAATGATTGGCTTAATGAACTGTCGGCCAGAATAACTTAAAAAGGAAAGTTCAACAGCTGCCTTAAAAACTTGAGTCATGTCAACTTAAATGAACACTTTCTTTCAACTCTATATGTCAAGTTGTACAAATATCATAAATAATAACTCTGCTTTGCTTGAATATTATATTGTGAGTCGAAACAACAAATCTTATTAGATTACAAAGTGGAAAAATCATTTTGTCTGGTTAAACATGCACACAATTCTACATTACGTTAACTTATAAATTTGAGTTAGACATGTATGGTTGTCCATTCAAATTAAAACTTTTTGTTAAATGAACAAATGGGTTAATTGTTTGAACTCGTATCAAAACGGTAGCTGTCGTGCCGATACAGGCAAATGGTGAAGCAGGAAGCTAACAGCAACACTGAAAGATGCTAGCTAACACACGCCTCATACAGGGTAACTGCAGGTTTAAGGGAGCCAAATTTAAGACTTTTTAAGACCTTTTTTAAGGCCACTTTGACCAAATTTAAGCTATTTTTAAAAATGTAATTTCTGCTATGATTTCCTAACCATGTCGCGAACGTGGGATTAGCCATCCAGTTACCATTAAACTTGCACTTCTCCATGGCGTAAGCTCCGACTAGCTTAACCAGCTAATGTGCTCATCTAAAAATGGCTCCCTTTCACAACCAACTGAATAAGTACGGTTCCGCTTACGCCAACATCGTACACAAAAAATGCTGAACACTAACTAGAAATTCACAAAAATGTCATAGAAATAAAATAATCTAGTTTATTGGGTCTTTGGTCATTTAAGACCTTTGGAAACTGTATTTAAGGATTATTTGTCATTTTTAAGGATTTTCAAGGCCTTAAATTTGGAAAAGCTAATTTAAGACTTTTTAAGTACCCGCAGATACCCTGCTCATACACAACACAAGGCTCTGAGTCCTGAGCATTTAGCGAGAACTACAACTTTATTTAGTGCAGTGGAGTGAAACAGCACAACGTTCTTATTCCTACGACCGCCCTCCGCACTAACCCTAACCCTCCGCACTAACCCTAACCCTCTGCACTAACACTAACCCTCCACACTAACCCTAACCCTCCGCACTAACCCTAACCCTCCGCACTAACCCTAACCCTCCGCACTAACACTAACCCTCCGCACTAACCCTAACCCTCCGCACTAACCCTAACCCTCCGCACTAACCCTAACCCTCCGCACTAACCCTTACCCTCCGCACTAACCCTAACCCTCCGCACTAACCCTAACCCTCCGCACTAACCCTAACCCTCCACACTAACCCTAACCCTCCACACTAACCCTAACCCTCCGCACTAACCCTAACCCAACATGACAACAACAAATAACTCCACCTTTGGAACACTAAACAAAGCAAAAACTAAGAACAACACAACCGCCCACAATAAATGTGCATAAACACCTCAAGGTAGAACAAAATAACTAAGAACATGACTACCCACAATGCACCTCACCCACTGCAGTTTTCAAAGTGGGCGGGGTCATTTTTAATCTATAAACTGCAGTTTTAAGTTGACTGAACGCACGAGAATGAGTAAAATAAAATAATCTGTTGAAATAACAAGCTATTTTAAGTTTTCAATGTCAAAACACACAAAATTGAGTTTAACAATTAAAACTTAACAGGGAGACTTTGGTGAAACAGGAAAAATAAATTGAAACAATTTTTTGAGGCTGTCTTTTTATACTGTGAGTTTTTACTGTGTGAAGTGCCTTGAGACGACACTTGTTGTGATTTAGCACTATACAAGTAAACTGCATTGAAACAATTAGCAGCCTTGCTCGGATCAAAGAAATATTCAGAAATCTCCACAAGTTTGTGTCGCTCTGCTTCTGGTCTTTATGCTAAGCTATGCTAGCCATACAAGACTCTTCCTCAAGATGCAGGAATAATGTTAATGTTGACATCTGTAAGTTATGGAGAAGATTAAAATAGATGTTTCACAACAATGCCCAATTGTCCTAATTTTTCCATACTTTGGGACAGTTAGTATAGCCTCCAGAGCTGGATGCTAGAATATTAGAAATGTTTAAAAAGGAAACCAGGGACTCTGTATTGTAGCTTAAGGTTTAGTGTTGACACTAAACCATCAATCGGTTCCTTTCTGATGGACTAACGTGCAAATGAAAAATACAACAAGAAGAAGAAAAAACAGAAACTTTGTCCAGTGTTAAAGTCATCAATTTAAAGAAGGCTATCATTGTCAGGAATCGGGAGTCTTTAAGCCTCTTTGCTCCAAACAGATTTTCCAATAACAAAAGTGCATATGACAGAGAATAAATGTCTTAAAGTTCAGACTCTACCCAATCAAAATGGAGACTTTTGTCACATATCTAGGCTCCATCATGCCAGACCCACTAACAGGCGGGATCACACTGTAGGTACTTGAATTACGTTTAAACGTGAACAAACCAGTGCTCTCCATTTAAAGACAAGTTAAGAGGGAAGCCTTATTATCAGTGGGTCCATTCAGGAGAAAGTTTGGTTGGATTGATGGGCTAACAGCTAGTCTGAGCCATTAAAAAAATGCATGCTTAAGTTAAAGTTACAGGATAAATCTTTTTGTTTTTCCCCTCCATGTTTCTCCAGGAATTCCAGATACCGCTAGGGAGGTTCCTACAAAGTAAGTATTCTTTAATGAAGTACTATAAGTATTTGGTGGAGAGGAATTCTAGACTGGAACCACAACTGCGTTTGTTTGAGTATTCTTTCATAACTCAGTCTGCACATACCCAGTACTGGACTCATAACTTTGTCCAAGATGGCAGTCCTCATGCGGCAAATCTGGATCGTACCAAAAGTCGGGGAAACAGCGATCTCCTTCTGCGTGGAACCGCTCAAAGCCATAGTCGCTGCAGACACACAAACAGGGCTTAGTGTTCCCATCCCAGCAAAACAACAGAAACCGTTTACAGTGGCTCACCAGTTGAAGTCTTTGTCGGAGCACTGGCATGGTCTACTTCTCAGAGCTGAGGTGTAGCTTTTGCCTTTGATGCAGAATGACGTCTCCTTTCTCTTCCTGAAAGTCCGCTCCTTGCCCATAATGCATTTTTCTCCCTGAGGGTGACACAAGCCCCAAAACACTCAGAAACCACTTTATTGTGTTCCCTCTAACTGTACCACCAAATGCAATGTCATCCTAAATGTCAGACTTTAAGCAATAAATATTTATAGAAAGAACATAACGGCACATTTCACTAAAATGTGTAAAGCTAAGCAAACTACCACAGTTAGGTTAAAAAGTTAAGGCTTGGTCCAAAGATGTGCCAATAAAGACACGGATTCAATGTTTTTTGTCAACCTTTCAATTGAACAGAAACAAGACTTCAATTTTATTAATAAAACATCTCCCACAACCTTGTCAGAAGTTTTACTCTACCCTTCACCCATCACAGGTTTCAGCTTCTGTGCATGTCTGCCTGTGCCTATAGTAACAGACGAGCTCCACCTATAAGGGTTAAAGAGCAAGTCACCTCCAAATCAACAGTTTTGTCTAATAGTGCTGTAGAAATGTAAAGCCATTATTTAAGAATTTTATTACATCTTATGCAAAATATAAATATTCAGCCTAAAACCGTCAGTGTGGCACCCTCTTCAGGTTAAAAGTCTGCAGTACATTTAAATTTGAATAGGCCATTGCTATTGGTTGAAACAATAGTGACATAGCCAGTGCAGTGTGACATTTGCTGCGGCTGTGGAGAATAGACGCAGCCGAGTCTGGGCCATGCCCACGGCCATCTCTGCCACTTACGAGCTGATATAATACAATATGGGTCAGAGCCGCCCGCAATCTCTAAAAAAACGTTCCTTCCTTTCCTCTGGAGAAAGAGGAGGAAGATGGAAATCCTACAGATTAGGAAGCATGCTGCCATCTCACTGCTCCAGTGGGGTGTGTGAGTGAGTATGTGTGTGTGTGTGTGCAGGGGTGGAGTGGTGGTGGTGGTGGTAGTGCTACTGGTTTTAGCATGGAGATAGACAGAGGTGTGGACTCGAGTCACATGACTTGGACTCGATTCAGACTTGAGTTATTATTTTAATGACTTCTGACTTGACTTGATAAAATCTATAAAGACTTACGACTTGACTCGGACTTGAACGCCAATGACTTGACTTGAATCGACTTGCATCTGTTGACTCGATGATGACTTGAGCGTATTTGATATCTTAGCACAGAAGTTGCTCGACATGGACAAAAATCATGAATCATTCTTGGTTCTGGGTTAGATTTACTGCTGAATGCAGCAGCTCTTTGTTTATCATCAGCTTCAGTTTCTGCTGTTTGAGCAAATAAACGAAGCTTTAAGAAGCTTTAATTCTGGAATTTATCATCATCTTCATTAAATAGAAGTTGGACAGATGACTTGATTATGACTTGAAAATTCAAAGTTAAGAACTTGGACTTGACTTGGACTTGCACATCATTGACTTTGGACTCAACTTGGACTTGACTGGAAAGACTTGCGACTTATTTGTGACTTGCAAAGCAGTGACTTGGTCACACCTCTGGAGACAGATGACCAAGCACATCTACTTGGTGTATAGGAACACCCTGATTCATGTACAGATATTTCTCATGAACATTTTAAGACCTGTTGGAAACTTCTCACCAATACTTTTTGCAAACTGTTACCAACATGCAGAAGACTGACAGCCGTACTTGGTGTTCATACATTACCTTCAGGTCTGTGAGCTGCCAGGACTCGTAATCGGACTCGGTGCACTGACGAGAGAAAGACTGCCTGAAATCCACTTTGACCAGCTCCCAGTCTGATCTGTAGCTAATGTGGCCAAACACACTGCAAACATAAACACACACTTAAAAATCCTCTAGGGAACGCAGTCGTAATCTGGCATTAAAAATAACTTCACATACAGATTACCAACAAAAGCTGCCAGTATCCACATTTGTCTGGTTTATTAATCTTTACTCGACCATCCTGACATCTGCAGATTAGTTTATGTGCCTCACAGAAACACCATTCCTCATTCTGTCCACTAGATGGCGGGATTGCCCAGGACAACTCATGCGTGGAAGCCACTCTATTCTCTGAACCGAGGTGTCTTGTGCGTGTTAGAGTATTCTTTTTTAATGCAGACTGATGTGACTCAAGTCCGTGCCTCAAACATCTGTTACCCTGCCAGCTGTGGCCCGCTATCACCTTGTTGAAAAGCAAGGCAAGCATGACTAATACGTCTTCACCGACACAGTTAAAGGAAAGTGATGGATGTCTCTGCCGCCGCTCCGCCTCCTCCCTGCTTTCTGTGTGATTGGTGCTCTGCGGTCAGCGTGGCTTCATTAAACTCCACCACATCCATTTGTAACACCCTTTTTCCCCAGGAATGGGTTAGGGTTAGTAGGGTTAGGGTTCAAGGGTGAGTTCACTCAGATTGGACAAATTCATTTGCGTTGTCACAGTGAAATCTAACGGTCTCACAAAAGCATCCTTCAGTTTGATCAGTTTTCATCGCTGCATCGTTACGTTGTCTTGACAAATGACCTCCTGGAACATTCTTTCATGACGGCTCCCAGCTACGCAACGCTAGAGGCTCGGAGCCCATTATCATACATGACTTTCGTCCTTTAGATATTATCTTTTATCAAAGACCAAGGCACCACCTGTATTGTTTTTGATGGCAATGGAATTCTATTGTATTTTAGGATATTTCCCCCATGCTCCACCTCATTATCCCAAACCATCAGCATTCCCAGAAACCCTGTAAGAGTAAATGAACCGATGAAGTTGCAACGTCTAATATCTTGGGAGTCCTGCTCACAAGTGATGAAAGGGTGGAGCCAGAGATAAACTGGCAGATCAGCATTCAGGACATTGCTCTGGTCTGTGGTGGAAAAGAAGGAGCTGAACCAAAGCCTCTTTATTTACTGGTCTGACCACATTCCAGCCCTGATCCATGGATGTGAGATTTGGATCATGACCAGGAGAATGAGGTCCTGGTTCCAGACACATGTGGTAAGTTTGCTTCATCGGTCAAACTTAAGAGAAAAGATGAGTAGACCCATCAGTCAAGGGGAAACTTGGGAGTACAGGTGCTCTTGTGCCCATTGAGGTGGTTCAAACCTCTGAACAGGATGCCTTCTAGTCACCTTCCTCTTTGAAAGCAAAGCAGAATGAAGAAGAATGCAAAGTCAGAGTCCACAAAGACTTCTTCTCAAGAAGTTCTTGGCAAATATGGGAGCTTGATGGAAACGTGTTCAGCTCAGTGGAAGGGAAATTGAGAGTGGCTCAGTACAGAGGGTAGAGATTTCTTGGTTTACCTTCCACACCTGATGCTCTTGCAACCAAACCTGGGATGAATCGATGGATTTTCTTCTTTCAGGAGTTACTACATCTCTCTTCATTTAGTCTTATCTTCTACATCATCTACCTTCACACCAATTAACAGCATCATCTCCTCTTTCACCACATCTATGAATGCTCTAACCTCAGCATCCGTCTACCTTTGTGATCAACATGTGTGTGTGGATGGAAGATGCTAAATCAAAAGCAGGATTTACTTTCCATCAGTGCAACACTTCCCTCCAGCCTCAGCTCATCCAGGAACTTTATCTCCCAGCTCTGAATTAGCACTCCAGAAACACAAGAGCTCTATTAGTGGACAAACAACACTCCAATCAGCTCAGGGAAAACAAATCAGTGCTCATTAACTGCTCCCTCTCATTACAAATGTGGAGCGAACGGACGAGAGATCACGATTACCCGTGTGTTCAGAAATCATTTCCTGGAGAGATGTTGTGGAGATTGTTCTGGAAGAGCGATGAAGAACTTCTTGGTCCGCTGGAAGCTTGGAGAAGCAAATGGTCCAGCAGATGCAGAACGAGCTGGGTTAATGATCTTGTGCAGCAAAAGCACATGGCTAGTCTGTGAAGTCTCTGGTTTGACCAGCTGTCTTTAGTATGAGTGCACCTGTCCTTGGCACTAAGTCACTGTTCAAAGACTTCATTATGGGATGGCAGACTGTGCCGTCAAAAATCGAAACTCCATGGCTAGGAAATAGACCCTGGATAATCTGTCAGACACGAGCTGCCCTCAACACCCTTCAGTGGCCATCAGACCTATCTCACTGGAGCCAGATGGGTGGCGTAAATGTGTGTTTACAGCCCAATGAGGGTGTGTTTAACGGGGAGCCTATATGCTTTGTGTGTGTGTGTGTGTGTGTGTGTGTGTGTGTGTGTGTGTCCCTGGGAGTGTGACCATCTCTTTGCCCTTCTCAGCAGATTACAGCTAGAAGCCAGCCTTATCTGTGAGCCGGAGCCTGGAGGCTGAGATGATGTGACAAGTCTCACTCCAGTTAACTTACTGATGGAGAGATTAGAAGAAAAGAGGAAAAGACCTGAGAAAGTTTAGAAACTCAGCCATTTTTCTTCTGAAAAAAAAAAAAAATATATATATATTGTCAGGACTTTAGTGCCAAAGAAATGGATAAAAGGAGGTTTGCTGTTAAATAAAGCCTAATGAGTTATATTATGCTTTAACATGAATTTCTGAAACAAGGAAAACCTGCGGCAGCTAAATTATGTCAAATCTGGTTCTGGTCTGCCCAAAACCTCCACGAGGTTCCTATGTTGAGTTTGACGGAAACTTCCTTTTGGTTTCAGTACTCTAAAAGCTCTGGTTTAACCCTTTCAACTCTCTTCCCACTTGTCGGCTACCATTCCTATAGGGAGCCTAAGTCCCGCCCACCTACTTCCAGACCACGGGTCCCAGAAGAACGAAAAAATGAACACAAGTCAACGGGGTTAAAAACGCCGTTTTCTAATCTGCTTGTTTGGTGTCATGGATTTCACATGTGATGTTTTTTAGATTTTTAAAGACACATTTTGATAACAAGAACGCGCTTCTTTTCTAACGGGGGAAACGCTATTTTACGTTTTGTGTGAAAATAAGTCCAGGACTACAAACGAGCTTCACGAAAGTGGCGTCATCGAACCAGACACGGAGAAAACTGAGAGAAAAGGGCTGTAAGTTCAGCAAACTTCCCACAGGAGGAAAGAACCACCATAGATCTGGTCACGTGGTCAGTAGCAGCTACGCTAGGAGAGAGGAGATTATGAGGTGACGTCACATATGTGACATATGGGCTGGGGTTCCTGTGCTCTGGGGCAGCTTCTGGATCTCTGGGACTTGGAGCTCCTTCCATCTCCTACACATCTTTGGGGGCAGTTCTGTGGACTCTCTATTGGACGCTCCTATGGATAAACCTTACATAAACAAGCACGTGTACACACACAGGTGCTCACATGGTGCTCTCATAAGTATGGACTTGGGCACGTTCAAGTGTGGTTGGCACTAAATGCACTGTGATTTATTATCATGATTGTTCAGTTAAACAATGTTGATTTTATGTTTTCTCATCAGGTTGACGCAGTGATAGCTTGCTCCTGTTGTATTGTTGTGTGTCCGTTTTCTGCAGGTCTAGAAGTAGACTCCTGTTCATCAATGATTGTTTATTTTTGTGGAATTAATTCTGTTTGCTTCACAGCCAGACAGGACACGGGAGAAAAAAGTAAAAAACAAAAAGAAAACCATGTGCCGTGCCGATTTCTGGTGTGTAGTCATGCTAATTACGAACTTTTACAAGCTGATAAATCTCAAAGAACGTGACTGGCGTGGTCGAAACACCCATCATTACTTTTTATTTAAATTGCAGTACAACATATGTGTGATCCAGGGTGTAAGGAAGAGCGGATTAGAAAATAACGTTTTTAGCCTCGTTGACTTGCTTTCGTTCTTTAGTTCTTCCGGGGACCCATGAGCCGACCTGAAGGGGGGAGACTTGGGCTTCCTATAGGCCACGTCCCCCGAAACCCAGGCGGCCCCTCCATTATCAAAGCCACAGGTAAGTTTAGTAAATTATTATCATGTATTAATAATGTTTGCTTTTTAGAGCCAGTTTGGTGTGAGGAAATAACAGAACTGCTGCAGACAAGGAGGCGTAGGATGACATTTTAGCCTTTTAGCTTAATAAACGAGCATATTGGTTATTCATAATCATTGAAGAATTGTCACCTTGAAAAAAATCAGCTATCATCAAAACTCTGAATATATTTTAGAGCAAAGATCATTTGAAGATCGAAGCTTCTGTGGGTTAAAGAACTTCCACCTGAGTGCTGCACGGGTCTGAGCCTAAACGTGGAGCTTAGGAGGAACAACTGAAGGAAGGCCATGGGGCAGAATCGCCCCATGTCCGTGCCCCATTTTTGTTTGTTTATTTTTTCTCTCTGCAGGTCTAGAAGCAGACTCTTGTTCATCATTGATTGTTTATTTTTGTGTGACCCCCCCCCCCCCCCTCCTTTTGTCTCTTCCTTTCTCCTTCACCTCTGTCTCTGTGGGTTAGGGTCAGGGTTAGGGTTTGCTTTGATGCTCCACCTGAGAGTAAATCTGTAAGGCTTGTCACCAGCATTCAGACATTAATTCTGTTTGCTTCACAGCCGGACAGGACACGGTAAAAAAAATTAAAAATGGCATAAAAAGCTGCTAAGCTCAAAGAATGAACCAGTGCTGAGTCAACCCCTAACAGACATTCTATGAAAACTACACTAAAAACACAATTTCTGCTTATTTCCTCTTCTTCTTTTTCGTTTTGCTATGTTACTCCGAGCTGTGTATTTGTTTATGTATGAAGAGGAGACGTACAGTCACACAAAAAGATCACATTTTATGATATTTACTTCTTTGTTTACTGGTGAAACTAAAAAAAATAAAAATAAAAATAGAAGATGGTGCAAAACTCCATTTACGTCCGTAAATGAAATTAGACTGAGAGACCATCCAAAGGCTCAGGAACCCTTGGACTCATTAGCTGATTAGAGTCTGACACTTTGAGTCTAGATTATTGATCCTTTTCACAATATTCTGACTGTCTGAGGTTTTGAATGTGGGGCTTTCATCAGCTGTAAGCCATAATCATCACGGTTGTAACAAATAAAGGCTGAAAATATCTGGCTTTGCATGTAATGAGTCTGTCTCGTATGCTAGTTTCACCTTTTAGGATGAATTACTGACATCAATGAACTCTAGCTTCTTACTCTAAATTTCCAAGTTTCACCCGTGAAGCACCTGAATGAACCTCTTCATTTATAATCCCTACCCTGGTCATTTAAGTTACAACCCCTTCACAGTGAATCCAACTGAATTCATGTTATGAAAACTTTTTTTCTCAACAGCACGCTTCCTACTTATGACGTCCTGGAGGACCATAATGCTCGTACTCACGTCATGACCAGAGTTTCGTCTCCCGGTTCGCTCAGGAGTCCATCCACAAACACTGAGGTACTGGTGAAGTTGTGAATGCTCCAAGTACGTCCTTCGTCGGTGCTAAACCTGCGACACAATCACAAGAAATCAAGAGAATTAGCTAACGGTTCACGATGTAACTGCCATTAGTTTGTTAGCGTTAAGAGTGCTGTCGAGCCAATGAACAGCATGAAGTGCTCCCGCACTTGGAACCTCTATGGCTGAGTGGGTAAACCCTCAAAACAAAACTCTGACGTTTTTCTCATTTTCTCAAAACATACTTCAAAACATCCCTTTAACCACCTGACTGGCTTGTTCTAGTACTCATCAACCCTGAAGCCATGTAAACAAATAAAGTGTTCACAGAAGCATCACAATGGTCTGGTCATGTGTCTCTCTCTCTCTTGCACTTAATTTCTTCCTCTCTGTGACTTTGACTTCATTTGATTTTATCTTTACAGTAGGATCTTACAAATGTAACGGTTGAACATGGAACACGAACACCAAAGCGACATCTAGTGTGTGGAGGTTGTAGGTGCAACAATAGAACCGTCGGGATACCAGGTTCCCTGCTGATATGTGACCAGCGAGCACCAGTGATGAGTCGTACAGGGTAAGGAGGAATCTCAACTAACATGTTTATTTTACAACAGTATTTAACGTTAGATCGTCTTCTGGGCTCAGACGCAGCTGCTTGACTTGCTGAGTCCGCTGTTTTCCACAGGGCCAGCCTCGCTGTGGCGAGCGGACTGTTGGGCAACTCGCAATGGTGCCCTCTGTTGGCTGGTAGATGTAAACACACACCAGTGTTGTCCCCGTCAAAGACATATTTTATTAATTCTTAATAAAATTTAGCTTTGAAAGGAAATACTGTACCTTCATTCTGCACGCCTCTGAACGCCCTGTGAAGGTTTCATTCAACAATATAGCTTTTTATTAAATTGTTCCATATTCAGCCTTTAACATCAGATTAATGCTGCACATGCACATATAGAAAGTGTTTGATGTCTAATGAGGAGACAGAAACAAACAAGAGGAGCCGTCTGCTCTGCTTTGGTCATTGTGCCAAACAATTCCAGCAGTCAGCGGTGGCAGCGGCGCTGAGTAAGTGTGACTGTGTGATGGAGAGGGATCAACGAGGAATCCGGCGGCGCCTATCTCACGCTACAGGCTGTGTGTTTTAATGATGTTCTTACAGGGAGCTCAACAATGAGCTAATCAGCAGAGGACATGCACAGAGAGAACAAAACAGAACGGATCAACAAAGATTCAGCTGCTAAGCCTCATTATGCCTCAAAGAGCTGTTGAATGGAACCGTGTCAGAGACCCTTTCTTCTGATACCAGAACCGAGCCAGCTGGTGCTGGGTCTGAGGGCTCCGCAACTGTCTGAAGTTAAAGCAGTTATCATTCAGGTGTGCAGGTATTGGAAAGCACGTTGGATTCTCTCAAGCTCTTTTATTTTCTTTCTGCACGTAACTTCTAATTGGAGACTTCGACAAGAGACAGATCCAGGAAAAAGCAAGGCCTTGATAGGGAGCGCCGGCTCCGAGTCCAAGAGGGGCCGTTTGTGTAAAATCAGACCACAAATGGCAGCATGGAATATTGCTTTAGACGTACTGAAATCATATCTGGATGTTCATTAGTCATCCATGCCCACTGTGGAACAACAGTTGGACCAGCCGACGCACGGTGATGTTCCCATCCCAGATAAAACTGAGTTTATTTAATCTAAAGGTAGAAACACCCCTTCACATAGGCTTAAACGCTTTCTACGACCCGTGTGGCTGAATCACGGCAGAGGTCCTTATTGAGTGTGAATCTCAGTGCCTACCGGGTACATCTGCATCCAGAGCCATCTGCTGCACCCTAACTTACTGGTTTTAACCCTCTGGAGGCAACCTACCTGCCTGGTGACTCCACATGCGTGTTTCATGAGCATGTTTTAACTCAGAAGTACCCCTGAAGGACCTAGTTTTTCGTCCTTTTATCAAAACTTATTTTGAGCTTGAGAGGGTTCATGTTCTCTCTAGTCTGTTCACATAGAACTTCAACCCGATTTAAGCCCCGTGCAGCCTGTTCTGGTTCAGTCATATCCGGCCAAGTAAGTCAAGTCAAAGTGACTCCATGCTGGTGTTGGTTACATTCATGGGGTCAACTACATCCTAATTGTAAGGCCATGATCACAGTACTGTTGGCGCCCCATCCTGGTATGCTTTTCTTGGAGTTGTGCTAGCATGCTAGCATGCTACCATGCTAGCATGGTACTTTGCTGCATCCTGATGGAATCTAAACAAATTGATGTCAAGACTGGGCTTGGGGTGGGGTCGAATCATAGGCTCATTTAAGGAATGGTGGTGTTCCTGCTGCTAGTAGAGGTCAGGTCACCATGCAAACTGGGCTGCATGGTGGCGCAGTGGTTAGCACTGTTGCCTCGCAGCACAATGGTTGCAGGTTCGAAACTCGGCTGCGGCCTTTCTGCGTGGAGTTGCGTGTTCTCCCCATGCATGCGTGGGTTTCCTCCGGGTACTCCGGTTTCCCCCACAGATCACAACATGCCCTATAGGTTAACAATTGTAAGTCGCTTTGGATAAAAGCACCTGCCAAATAAATAAACATAAACATAAAACCACAAAGTAACAAAAACGCACAGACGTCCCTGACCTCATGTAACTGTAGATGTAGGGAAACATTGAAAACATTCAGAATAGTGGCCCATGGGGACTGGAACCACCCACCTCTGGGTTAGGGTTGAACCCGTACTGGTAATGGTAAAGGTTAGGGTCTGGGGTTAGGCTACAGAAATGAATGAATGAACACAAAACACACCCTAAGGAGAATGAACGTATAAAGTCATAAAGAAACTAAACTTCCTTAAAGGAAAACTCACCATAAGTCATTAATGGTGAAAAGATAATTAACTATTTCTTACTCATTCATTAATTTACTAAATGTTAAGAGGTCTTAAATCTGGTAGAGATGCAAATAAACATCTATTCCAGTCATGAAGCTTTCATCATGCACCCAATGAAGACCCATACCTTTAAGTGATCTACTCTAGGTTCTTTGTTGAATACCTGCTGGAATTAAAGATGTAACACATGATCCATATTTGTGAAGCTACAACCATTACAAGATCGGTTCATCTTAAAATACAGAGTTACAATAAATCACTGTGCAAAGGGTAAAAAATACACACATTGTCCCTGATTACTTTTTCTTCTTCTTTGTCTCTGACAACAACAACAACAACAACGTGTCTTAACTTGATAAATGGTTCCCCTGAAAACAAAGGCTTAGGCTCTCTTATAGAACCGCATGGAAAAGAAGACTTATTTTGTAATTTTGGAAGAAATAAATCTCATATAAACTTTTTTTTAAATGGTTAAAAGGTTTCATGTTCTCCTATTTATCTACTTCCCTCCTCTCTCATGCTTTTAGTCCTTAAGGGAGGGTTTCTACCAAGCTTGTTGCCATTTGAAAAAGCTGATTTTAAACACCCTAAAGCAATAAGGTAGGCACTCTGTTGGACATTAACCGTTTTTTTAAGGTCTGGACAGAAAAAAAATGCTAAAATTATTCCTAAGAAATTATTTTGTGATAATCTTCTCTAAATTGATATAAAAGCTAAAAGCAAGGGCCATACATTTATATAAATAATAAAAATTGTTGAAAGTTTTTATTCATTTGTCTTTTTAGCTTCTCCTGTAATGACCCATCGCACATCTTTGCCATCATTTTGAGGGTCAAAGCAAAAAAACCACGAGGGCCACTGTCAAACCGTGAAGTGGAATAACACATTCATGGTTTTGAAAGTTTTAAGCAAATGCAAATTAATATTTTAGCCGTAACCACAGCTTAATGTGATTATCCTGATTAACATTCACTCAGGTAAAAATCTGTTGACAGCAGTGGAAAACAATTGTTAGGTTTATTTTAGTTTTCTTTTCCAGCCAGGATAATTAATTTCAACACATTCTCACACCCTAAGCGTCGAAAAATGATGCGGGGTGACCAAGCTGTCTCTGATGCGCTGGGAGGCCACGTGCTGTGCCAGAGCATCGGTATCGGACGCCAGCGGTAAAACATCGACTTCACTCCCAATGCGTCAGAAACAAACGCTTGGTCACCCCGTGTCGTTTTTTGACGCTTACATGGAGGGGCGGTGCCTAAAACCTAACAATGACCAAGCCACTAGGGGGCTCCCACTCCCACAATAAAAACAACAGCATTGGAGAAGGCCAAGGAATGCAAAGGTTAAAACACCATCTGGTCTCCAAACCAGAACACACACTGCTTGTGACCTCGCCATCGAGAGCTACAGATCTTCAGATTCAGATTTCAGATTTATTGGCCAAGTAAAATTACATTTACAAGGAATTTAGCTTCGGTAGATGTTCGCTCTCTAAAACATACAACCACAATAAATAAGAATAAAAATACATAAAAAACACATAAGAATATGTATACACACACACACATATATACATATGTATACACACACACATATATACATATGTATATACACACACACACACACACACACACACACACACACACACACACACACACACACACACACACACACACACACACACAGTCACAACAGAATCTGTGCTTCAAGTCACAAGACCTCCTGGAGAAGACAGAACTTCTATATCTTAGTTCAATTCAATTCAATTCAATTCAATTCAATTCAAGTTTATTTATAAAGCGCCAAATCACGACAAGAGTCGTCTCAAGGCACTTCACATAATAAACATTCCATTTCAGGTCAGTTCATTAAGCCAATCAGAAATAACGTGTCCTATATAAGGAACCCAGCAGGTTGCATCAAGTCACTGACTAGTGTCAGAGTCTTTACAGCTATCCTCATACCAAGCAAGCATAAAGCGACAGTGGAGAGGAAAACTCCCTTTTAACAGGAAGAAACCTCCAGAGGATCCTGGCTCAGTATAAGCAGCCATCCTCCACGACTCACTGGGGATGGAGAAGACAGAGCAGGCACACACACACACACACGCACGCACGCACGCACGCACGCACGCACGCACGCACGCACGCACGCACACACACACACACACACACACACACACACACAAAGATTTGATACTTGCTCATTCAATGGTTTTCCTCACTTTACAGGTTATTTATTATTACATAGAACGATGAATATTTTATCTAAAGGGATGTAATAATGAACTGATTACTTGACAGCTATGAATGAATGAACATAGCTGTTTATTCTTCAGATGCATCATTTCACATTACACCAAACAAATCTACGTGATGATTTATTATCGTGATGTCACATAATATTACCAGTATATTAACAAATGACTGATATATCATATTTACTTCACATATTAAGTGAAATAAGCCTGTTTGAGTTTCTGGGAAAAGGAGTTGCATCTGAGGACTTTTGTTGATGTCTACTACATTCTCTGGTTTATGATTGGTTCGTCTTCAAGAGACCCTTAAATAGAGTCCCTTCCTCCATAATTTTGTTCCTGCAAAGATGCTGAATGGGCACCTCTTGTGAGACCCAGCAGATGCCACACTAGAACACTTTTAGTGGCGTAGAACGACTATTTTTCAAGATGGAATAACTATTATTTGTTTAACCTGCTAAACCCACTCCATCAGAGCCGCCAGCAGTCACCCAGGGGTGTCATGTGACCGGTGGTAAGAATCCAAAGGAACGCTACGACCGTAGTTCAGAAACCAATTCCATTCGGCAGCCTGGCCGAACCGACTTTGCTGCGCCACCGAATCGCCGAGAACCCTCGCCATACGGGTACCGTAGCTCTACACACAGGCGTTGGACGGTTTAATATTCACTTAATAAGTAATTAAACATCAGCCAGATTATTTTATAAACTCAGACAAACATCACATTTTTCATAAGACACTTAATTGGACTTTTAATAACATCTTAGATCATGTTTCAGTAAAGTTTCCTTGTTGTCCTTTTAGAGATAATCATTTATCCTGTATCATAATTAGTTGTAGAAATATAGTAATAAATGAATTTGTATAAACTATATTTTGCTTTTGTGTTAAATTATTGATGAGAATTGTTTTCCTGGCAAACACAAATTACCTTTTTTCTTAACCAATCACATATTAAAGGTTCAACAATATTGATAATACAAATTTTTATAGATTTTATTGAATACCTTTATATTTTATTGGTAATTTATTAAAAGTAACAACTTACAAAATATTACAACAGGAATGATAATAGTTGCTCATAATGTTTTTCCTGGAAAGCGACTCGATAAGCGTTGAGATGTCACTTTTGACTCAGGATGGAGTTTCAGAAACAAGATGAAAGTTTTATAAATCAGGAACAAACTGAATCTTTACAATTAAACAATATTTTCTCACGTGTAGAACCTGCTCACAACAGCAGATTAAGGTCAGTTAGAGTCCATGCACTACAAACAAGTGTGAAACCAGCTCTGTACGATAATCCACCACCGTTTAGAGTTTATTCTAAACTGTTTTCAACTTTTCAGACAAAAATCAGATTTTTTTCTGAATTGTAATTAGATTGTTCTTGAATAGCTCCATCCTGTTTTAGTTTGATCCATCAGTTTCAAACTCTCGGGAGCAGGAAAACAACGGCTTTGAGGAACTCCAGAGTCAGCTTGACGAGATTTCTACTCGTGTTTCTTTTCAAGTAATAAATGAGTGGCTGAGAGCGCTGGCGCAACAGATGTTATTAGATTACAGATGTCAGAATCTGAAGCGGAGAGTATAAAAATGAGTGACAGACGCATTAACTGGGATGCACACACCTCGCTGTCAGCTGGGAACTACAATCTAGGAGCTAGGAGTTTCAGAAGAAGGATGCACGGGTGATGTTTGGAACGCCAACAGGAACAAAACTAAACTGTTTTTCCTCGTTTTGTGAAGGAAACTGAAAATGACACAGAATCCAACTGGAAATGCAATTTCCCCAAAACCAAAATAGCTTGAGCAGCTTTTCTGTTTTATTCATTTATTAACTTTCACCTACACTGTCCCGGGACGTAGAGGAAGACAACCGAGGATGCAGCGATGCAGAGCACCTTTTTATTTTAGCAATAACCATCTGAGCTGTGGAAAAAATACATTACAATGTGCCCCCCCCCCCCCCCCCAAAAAAAAAAGGATGACACATCCCATGGTCAGCGTTGTTTTCCAGCAGTAAGGAATCTCAGGTTTGCTGGTTTAGTGTTTGAAATCTTACTTGAGGATCTTGAGGGGAATGGAAGTGTCCTTGATGGCAACAATGACCCCCCCATGGTCCAGATACAGGATGTGATGTTCCTCTTCAAAAACCTGATGATTAAAAGAGCTTTCTGTTAGAAATGAAATGTGATTTTTCATTAAGAGCTAAAGTACCGTGATGTCCTTGTTGTGGGTTTCACAGAATAATGTCCCCACAGGCTCTCTGTGATCGGTTGGATTATGGTTATTCCTAATGGGCCAAGTTTTTAGGAACAGGCTCAAGACTCACCTTTTTAGCTTAGCCTTTAATCGATTACTTTCATTATCCATTATTCATCTACGTATTAATTATTTTATCCTATATGTTTTATTTAATCAGAGTTTTAATATCTTATAGAGACTCAGCTTTTTAGCTTAGCTTTAAACTGATTATTTTTATTACTCATTTGTTCATTTTATTTATTTTATCTTTATACGTTCTATTCTATCAAAAACTTACCATCTTATATTTTAACCTTATTTTATCCTTTTCAGTGTTTCCTCTGTGGGAGCCCTCTGCCCCAGGGGTGGTGGTCAGCTGTGGCGGCCTGGGTGCTTTTAGGGTGTGGCTGGGTGGAGGTGGGTGGGTCTGCCCTCCCTCCCCTGGGCGCCTTGTGTCGGTGCCCTGGCTGCTGCTGTGGATCTGCTGCTGTCGGGGCAGATGGCTCCCCTGATGGTGTTTCCTTAACTTGCTTGTCTGGCTCATCTGAACTCAGCCCAGTGTGTTCATTTTTTAGCTCATGTCCTTAAGCATGTGTGTCAGATGATGAGTGTAATGGGGGGTATTATTGTCATATTGCTTTTATTTTATGAGGAGGGAGGGAACGTGCGCATGCGGGGTCATTTTAATTTGTAACGCACCTTGAGTTATTGTATGAATTGTGCTATAGAAATAATGTTTGATTTGATTTGATTCCAAAGTCAAGATAATTCTACCTTTATATGTTAGCAGCACCCTAATCATCTTCAGATACGCATGCATGCTACAGTCTCAGTGTTCACCAGATAAGTCCTTTTTCTGTTGAATGATGTTCGTTAGACTCTATCCTGCCCTCTTAACACATGGGTCCCCTATCACACCACCGCTCAGCTCCGTACCGCCTCAGTTCACTCAGATGGTGTCAGCACATAGCCACATGCTAACGAGTCACACCACGCTAAACCGGTGTTTATAAAGGGATGATCTAGGTATGATGTCAGAAATGTTAGTCCTGCTAAAGATGCTCAAGGCCAGATCCACACCTTTGTTACTGAACTCCATTTCACAGGTTATCTGCAACCGTAGTCTACTACAGACCCCGATCCATCCCTACAATAACGGTAAACAACACGGACATTTAAGTATGCTCACAGCCATCATGGACTATTTATGTTACATAATGGAGAATCTACTAGGATCTAGGTCAACTCATCCTTTCACCAAAAGTACCTTTGCAAGGTTTTTGGGTTTAAATAGGACCTAGCTGTCAAACGCCGAGTTACCCCCTCTGACATCTTTACACCCTTTTGGACCGTTTTGTACCCTGTTTTGGACCAAATCATGTCCACCGTTGCATCCACTTTAACTTTTATTTACTTGATATACATTTTATTAAAGCTCACAATGAAATGATGTTTCGTTCTAGTGTTTTTCACGGGCATTGTTATGCACATGCAGTGTGTGATGCAACATCTAGTCACCATTTCTTACCTGATTGGTTTGAGATATCGGTAACGCTTCCTTCTACAGTCCCCTATTTACTAAGTACTTACATGGTAATTACATAGTAAGTTAAAGTGTATTATTGTTTCTGAGTTCTTAAACAGTTATTACCATGTTACTCACTTTGAATTCTAGTTTTTTAAATCAATCATTCCCAGTACATACTGATTTACACAATAATTACACAGTATTACAATTATACACTTTAATTACACAAGAATACAGTTTAAAAGTAGATATGGAAGGAAAAAAGTCATGATTTGAGGCACTCCAAAAAATAATTTATTATAATTTAAGCCGATGCGTTTCGGTCGCGTGCAACCTTCTTCAGGGCATCACCATGCCCTCACTCCCACCTGTTTGAATAATACACTTCAACTTACTATGTAATTGCCATGTAAGTACTTAGTACTTACATGGTACTTAGTACAGTGAGTCGTGGAGGATGGCTGCTTGTACTGAGCCAGGATTCTCTGGAGGTTTCTTCCTGTTAAAAGGGAGTTTTCCTCTCCACTGTCGCTTTATGCTTGCTTGGTATGAGGATTGCTGTATAGTCACTGACACTAGTCAGTGACTTGATGCAACCTGCTGGGTTCCTTATACAGGAAACATTATTTCTGATTGGCTTAATGAACTGACCTGAATTGGAATGTTTATTATGTGAAGTGCCTTGAGACGACTCTTGTCGTGATTTGGCGCTTTATAAATAAACTTGAACTTGAACTTAGTAATTAAGGGACTGTTAAAGGAAGCGTTACCGAAACATCTAATGGACAATGTCTGAGTGGAGTTTGGTAGTGAATGAACTGAACTGACCAGCATTCCCCCCCCCCAATATATTTCTAATGCATGAAGAAGTCTGTATAATCCTGCAAAGACTGTCCATATTCGGACTATTATTTATTCAACAGCGAGGGTGTCGTCCAGTGTGAGCGGGGTCTTAATAGAAGGTCGGGTGGATTTAAAATATATTCCATCATTTCAGGACACTGTGAACAGGACATCAGCAGAATGGTATGAGGAAATGTGAAAGAAACATCAAGAGAACACAATGTACCTGTCTCCATGTCTTCCCACAGTCTGAAGTGATGTACATCTCTTCCTTATACTCTACAAGTTTGGAGCCAAGGTTACCTGAGGGAAAGATACAGGATACAGACTGCTATCAGGCAAAACAGACGCATTCAGAAAAGAAAGAGAAGGGCCAAGAGGAGAGGAGACGGTAACCTATCACTGAAGAAAACAGTGTTTTAGGGTTTCTCAGAAAGATTGTTTGACTTGCTTTGGTTTTTTAAATAAATATTTCTGAAATATGCGTTTTAGACATGCGTTTCAAAACTAAAAGTCATGCCTGACCTTCCTTATGAAACACCAACAAAGATCAGCTGCAGCTTCTTTAGTCACACATCATCAACTTTACTAAAGTCACAAACTCTCCATAAAAGCTGAGGTTTATAGAGTAATAACAAATCAAATTAGCCTCTACAACAACTCAAACGCAAACACCACGCCTAGTAGAGGCTAGCCAATAGCATTAGCAACCCCAACATGGAGGAACACATTTGGGCTTGAGCAATTTGTGGGGAAAATACATCAATGCTGCAAAGAAAGAGGAGCAGCAGCGGAAGAGTCATGTTGTAAATATGGTAAACTCCATTCTTTTTACTCAATCGAGTTTGAACGAGTCACTCACCAAAATGAATCGAGTTTTTTTGATTCATTTGAGTCACTGGGTCAGTTGCCCAGATTGCAAAATGAAATCTCCAACTAAATTTGCTCCTCTTCCCATGTAAGTCCCACCACTCACGCGAGTGATTCAAAAAAAGAAAACGATCCATTTTAGACACTAACATTTCTTTTTTAAAACAAAGTAGTGGAAAAGAGTTCATATATTTTATCTATGGTCTGCTTATTAGGACAACAACAACATAAATTATAACAAAGAACCGAGAGGACATGTAAGACGACACGGAACAGAAGGAGCATCAAAACTTTCAAAATAAACTAGGGCCGGGACTTTAACGCGTTAATTACGATTAATTAATTAGAAAAAATAACGCGTTAAAAAATTAACGCATTTAATCGCAGCTTGCATTTCAAGCAAGGCGGAACCTTTGTCATTGCACGATTTCCTCGTAGACAGAATATCACTGACGCACACAACAATGCACAGTGCTAATGGCTACTAAAACGGAATAAAAACAGAAAGAAGTTGCCTTGCTTGGACTGATGCAGGATTTAGGAAACACGTCCGCCTCTTTTCTTAAATTGGGAAAAAAAAAACTTCCAGACAACAACGGAGTCCGTGTCGCGGACATTTTTCAGAGATCGTCTCTGCTGCGGCTGCCCGGTGGCACAGGAAACTTTACAAAAGTTGCCGTAAGCTATATTTTTAACATTTACGTAACATCTGTGCAGCGCTGAAAGCACCAGACAGAATAATTCTTTGCCCTAACAGTAATTTATGAAAGTAGTCAGACAAACGAGAGGCACCTGGCTGCCGCTGGGAGAACGCTCCGTGTTCTCACTACTCTGTAAACAATCACAAACAAAGTGTCTTAAAGTTCAAAACAGAAGTTTAAGTTAAAACAGAAACACTCTGAAACTTTTCTGATGATTTTCTAAACAATGCTGTCGGGGAATTCTATGTTTCTGAGACGAGTCTCCGTCTAAACATCACATGCATTACTATCATTAAGCAGAGAGGTGTGTTGAAGCTGTCATCAGCTAAGGGGCGGATGCTCGAGTGCATCAGGGGCAGCGAGGAACGAGGAAGTTATGATCAGGCTGGAGATCACACCAGATTCGCTGCTGCAGGCGTGAATCTGCGGGTCTGCAGCATCCCCTTCTTAACGTGACAGCAGTACTTCCCATGTAAGGAAGGCCCGCTCACCTGTTCGTCAGATCATTATTTCCTCGCCATGATCTTTTATCTTCCCATCATCCTCCAGTCATCCAACTGGAACCAGTTAGTGTTCCTGATCATTATCAGAATATGCCATGCCTGCTCTGGTGTTAAAAGTTAGTACATTTAAGTCCTAGATCATATTTGTGCCTGTTTACTGTCATTTTGAAGGATTATTATTTATGTGTTTTTACTACATTATGAGTAGAAATGCTAATAAAAACTCCTAATTATACAAACAAGTGAAACTGGAAAAATTAGAATCTGGTGCAAAGTCAAATTTATTTCAGTCATTCAACTAGACAGAGAGACTATTTAAAGGCTCAGGAACCCTTTGCAGGTGTTTTCTATTGGTAATTATAAATTTTTGTTGATTTGGGTCTTGTTTCATATCACACAGTGACATTTGAATAATTAAAATGCATTTTTTATTAAAGTTAAGTTTACAGTAATAACCATGTCTAATGTTTGATTCTCTGTCTCATAATTTTAATTAAAAGTTTTGCTTTGAGAGCACATTTTCCTGAATGATTAAAATGCGATTAATTTAGATTAATTAATTACAAAGCCTGTAATTAATTAGCTTTAAATTTTTAATCAAGTCCCAGCCCTAAAATAAATATTTGGAAACTCTAGACTAGGCCGAAACAAATACTCAAATAATTTGATTAAATCAATTAAAAAACAATTACTTTTATTTTGTAAATCGACGCTTTGTTTGTGTTCACTTCCAGTTCATACAATCTCCTTCTGGTGTGAACTTTCGGTTATTTTACAACAAGCGTGCTTGTTCTGTTACTGTAGCTCCAACAGAAGAGCAAGCAACAGGGTGAATGCAAAAAGGATGACGACACCCAGAGAAAACGCCAAAAAGTTTGCGAATAGTTCTAGCCGAGCTAACGTTGCGCTAAGCTAGTGGTTCACAACAGCACTACGTCCCCAGCACAAAGCATCCAGGTTTCAGGCATCAGCTACGGACCTGAGAGAAGGCGTGTGTTTTAGAGTTTAAATGGAGATAAATGGAGCATCCCCAGTATGCTAACTGAGACTGATAAATGGTTAGCTGCTACCCCTAAAAGCCAACAAGTGTTTTTATTTCTTTGTGTTTTCAGTCAGTATGAAAATCAGACTAAAATGTTTGAAGGAGAAAATATTATTTTTTACGTAGCGCCTCTCCACATAAAAGTCACAAAGCACTCGCGTGTCGGCTTTGGTTTTGCATGCATGTTTTTTATTTTCAGGTATTTTATTTTTACCATTGCAGTTTTATCTTTATTTCAAAAAGGAAAAGTGTGTTTAAATGTTGAACTGTTTTGGAGTTGGAGTTGTTGCCTGGCAACCAGGCAGATCCATCCAGCATGCTCTCAGCTGAACATGCTGCTGAGTTAAAGACAGCAAATGAAAAGGAACTAATTAAAATAAACCTTCTTATATAAATATACCAGTTGACTTGTTTTTCACAACTACTACTGCTTTGTTTACATTTTATCGCATTTTCAAGGAAACATAAAGGAGTATCTGATTAATTGATCGATTAGTGAGGCAAATTAATCAATTACTAAAATAATCGATAGCTGCAGCCCTACACTAGACAATATATTTAGCACAATTAGTTCGAATTAACTTTATTGAACTGTAAAATAATTTGAATTAATTCAAAACATCTTGAAACTGAGTTTCTGCAGCTAAGAGCTGGGAGGGAGGGGAGAAAGAGTTGTGTTCTGAGTGATTCATTCATGCTACGATTAGCACCGCTAGCTAACTCTCAGGCAGGGAGGGGGTGAGTGACTCAAGGCGGTGCGCGTGTGAACTAATGAGCTTCCAGTCCAGAGCAGGTAAGAAAATGCTTTTGTGAACAAACTCGTAGTTGTTTGCAATGATGAGTCAAATATATTCCTACTAATTAAATTAGATTGCTAATAGTAACAGGCATGAATCAGTTGGGTTTGGGAATTGTGATTCATGAGTCAGTAAAGTGATTCTCGAGTACTGAACGATCCATTCATGACTCGCACATCACTGCTAGCCAACTGGAGGCGAGTCATTTGCATACCATGAATAATAAACCTGTAGGAGTCAAAATCCTGTTTTTTCCACCCCACCCCGCCACTCTTCCAACAAATCTCTACCCTCTGAAACAGGAGCGCCAGAGCTTTTCCCCACGGAAAACTACCCACAAGGAGTTCATTCATACTGAACCAACATTTCTGACTCTGACGCAAACCAAATAAGGCAGATCAACACAGACCCAAACACACCTTATATGGCTGTTTTATTCTTAATTTATCATTAGTCTCTGATTTAATAGAGCAATCCTGAAACAGAGGTAACTAAGCTGAAAATGCCACATCGATGCACTTCATGCATCTAGCTTCATGTAAACATTAGCAAGTCCGAGGAAGCTAAAAGGCACGAGAGACCGGCCAGCAACAGGCGGGTTAATTCTTAGGGAAAGGTTACTCATCAAATTTGAAAAAATAGCCTTTTTTTCCCAATTTTGTTTATTTTTTTAATATTCTTGATAAGGCTTCAAATCAGTGTGCGCATCATGAAAAATGCTCACCCGCCCTTTAGCTATAGCTGTAAACGAACATAATAAAACTGATTTGTTTCACTCGCCGTTTCAGTTCTTTTATGTAGAAATCAGATCTTTGAATGGGAAGTCTAGAAACTCTGAAATATAAACGCGACCATCGTCCCTCACAAGGCTGTCTGCTGACACAATGCTGAATAGATAGTTATGTTAGTGCTGATGTCAGTGGGTTGTGTGTTCTTGTCTTTGTTAGTATTACTTATGTTTAGATGGGACCGCTACAACGTGCAGGACAGCTGTTATCGGCACACACGGCTGCTCTCCACAGCTTCATGTTTCACAAGTTAGCATACAGCACCATAATGTTCTCCCTCAGCTATAACTACAGACGTTCCTAATTAAAAGATAAAGCACTTTTACTGCTCAACAGGCAGAGAACGCTCTCATAAAGTCGGTGTTTGGTTGGTATTACAACTGCTTTTGTTAAGTAGTGTCGTTAAATGCAGAACAAGAAGAAGCTGATGTGATTAAATGATTTAATGCTGTAACTCACCAGCACCCATGATGAGACCCGGAGCTGAGTCTTTAGTGTGGACCGTGCCAGACACGTAGGGGTTATCTGCCCAGCGCAAGTGGAGGTGAAGGTGACAGTCCGGCTGCAGAAGAAACAACGCAAATCCCGAATCACCACCAAGTAGAAAGTCAAGGATTTCACAAATATAATAGTGGTGGGACTCCAGAGTCTGAGCCAGCCATGTTTAATGAGCCTTAATAGATAATCCCACTGGTTTTAGGGCTGCTAATCCACATTTCAATCTCACTTTAAAGGTAACACTTAGGGTTCAATTGTCTCTTTAGGTGTTAAGATGAACCTCTCTTGTCCAGGGCGGGACTGCGGGAAGGCCGCTGAAACGTTCCAGGGTCACTGCAACCCTCCAACCCTCAATGCTCCTCCCCCCATCCACACTGAGGTGACATGCGCTGCTTATCATGGCTGCAGGAACTGAAGTGGGGATAGTCCCAACCCACCACCCCACCTAGAACACACTTATGTTGTGTGATGTCTGAAGTCTGTTGCATTTCTGTCTGAGGTGTTTTTTGCAGAGCAAAGCTGCCCTCCTGCTGGAGGGTAACTCCGAAGTGACTTTTTTCCCTCCACCTGAACCAATCCTCATGAAACCCTCTTATCTCTATTAAGGTAGCGCGACTCGGGTTGCGAATGACCACAGTCACCAATTCTTGTCATGGTCTTGCCCATGCATGATTGATCTCTGAATTGTGTGTACTGAAACTCTAATTTCCCTCTGGGATTAATAAAGTATCTTTGATTGATTGATTGTGAGGGGAACCTACCTCCATAGATACAGCCTTATGCTGTTTCTATGATCTATGGCCACTATGGGTAGCTCATATATCTGGTCAGCCAGATAGTGCATGCTCTAAGTTACAGCCTATCTGACACAATACAGGTTATGTCAGTGTAAAAGTGAAGCAGTTTCTTTCTCTGATAGGAGCGTCTTAAATCCAGAAGTGTAAAACAGTTCTATTGAGGTATGGACACGCTTATCAGGAAGGCAAGGTCACTATCAGAGATCCAGATGCAGGGCTGGTAAACAAGTCTTCCACAGATATCTGAGTCTCCCTACATACTTGTCAGCTGATAGGAGTGACGGTCAGACTAAAGGACCAGACGTGTTGCCCTCTATCTCCCAGCGTGGTGTGATGGATGGATCTCAGACTACGGGTGACTCATTGCTCTTTGCTGTGTAAGCTCACAGCAGCGACGTAGACAAGACGGATGGCAGAACTAGGCAAGCATCTCACACACATTCTTCAAAGTACAGCACTCATCCGTTCCACCTCTCCCCATCCGAACAGCCTGGTTCAAAGGCCTTTGTGTTTTGACTGATGGCTGCGAATGCATGATGTCATCAACAATACGAAGCATGGACACAAATGCTGTCTCAGAGCACAGACTGCCACACAGCAAAAGAATCTGGTTAACAGGTGGTAACATTTTATCTGACTAACATTTAGAGCAGTCGCTGTTTACAAACAAACAAACACCAGAATGTGGTGGCTGTACCAAAACTGTTTCCTTTCAGGAGAGATTTGAACATTTCGCCACAAACAAGCAGAACATTTACGATGAAAAACATCGAAACATACTTGAGTTTAAAAGGGTATTTCTCCACAAATCCAAGAACCTTTTACCCTGGATCTTCATACGTTGATTTTTTTGTTTTGTTTCCACTAAGATCTGAGCTACATGGTGAGTTCACTTAGGCCTAGTCCACACGTAGCCGGGTTTTTTAAAAACGAATATCCGCCCCTCCAAAAACTTGCATCCACACCACCTCGTTTTAAAAACAAACTCTGTCCACACGTACCCGGATAAATACGTTGTTAAGGACATGCCAGACCTGTAGGTGGCAGTACTTCCCCCGTTCTTAACCTCGTCCTTCGTCTGTGGTCTTCCGCAAGGAGCAGTAATTCCGCTTGCAAAAACAAACAAGCAAAAAGCGCTTGGACAATTGATAAAGCGAGCGCAGCTCTGAGGGCATCCATGCTGTCGGCTAGTGTAAACACAGGTCGCACACGTGATGTCAGCATTTTTCTGTCGCGGAAAGTGACGTTGCGGACCTTAAAACTCCGGTTTTGTCCGTCCACACGCAGACACCCAAAACGGAGAAAACGCAGATCTTCACTTTGGCCGGAGTTTTTAAAAAGATCCGTTTTCGTGTGAAAAAACTCCGTTTTCGTGTGGATGACAGGCCAAAACGTAGAAAAATATCTACGTTTGGGCAGATCCCCGGCTACGTGTGGACAGGGCCTCAAAGGTGTAATGTGCTCATTAGGCACCCTGAATGTTCCAGGTGACATCGGTTCTCTTGAGTTAAATTTCTACCCTGATTCTCTGTTATGATCTTGGTTCCAGCATTCTGGGGTGGAGCGCAGTGTCCAAAAACGACCCTGGTGCTTGGCAAAGGTTCCTCACTTGGAAATAAGTCTTTGACATTAGTTTTAAATCAATTTTATCCGTCTGAAGTCCTCATAATTGTTTTAGCATGAAGTTTTATACAATTATTGGGCAAGAATGACCGAGTGGTGCCAATCTAAAACATCTAAGTCCTTAAACTGAACTTTTCAATCCACAGCAGTTAGTTACAGTTGAGTTGTCCCCGATTCGTTGTGGATCAAGACCCCACTACGGTCTCTATATCCTGCATAATCAATAAAACCAGTCTCAAAATGTTGAGAATGACACAAATATTAATTATTAGAAAGTTTGCAGCAATAAGCACGGACTCTAGAATGTTGTGAAAAACATTCAGATGAACTGTAATTATCAGTTAATTTCTCAGGCATGAAAACGAGAGGAGACCAGGATGGCCGGGTGTGATAAAGAACAAAGAGGCCACCTCTCTCCAGGAATGGGCTGCAGTCAGTCAGGATTTGGACCAGAAGCTGACTGCCAGCACCTCAGGGTGAACTACATGAAGAACCAGCATTGTACTGACTCCAAACATTTTTAATTGTCAGTAAAAGTCTTCTCGGGGTCTTGTTCATGAGTGAGGGAAAACTGGAGCGTAAGATCGACAGGTGGATCGGCGCTGCGACTGCAGTGATGCGGGCGTTGTACCGGTCTGTCGTGGTGGAGAGAGAGCTGAGCTGGAAGGCAAAGCTTTCAATTTATCGGTCGATCTACGTTGCTACCTTCACCTATGGTCATGAGCTCTGGGTAGGGATCGAAAGAACAAAATCACGGATACAAGCGGCCCAAATGAGTTTTCTTCACAGGGTGTCTGGGCTCTCCCTTAGAGATAGGGTGAGAAGCTCGGTCATTTGGGACGGCCTCAGAGTAGACCTGCCGCTCCTCTACATAGAGAGGAGCCAGTTGAGGTGGCTCAAGCATCTAGTTAGGATGCCTCCCTAGAGAGATTTTCTAGGCACGTCCAACTGGGAGGAGATCTAAAGGAAGACCCAGGACACTTTGGAGGAACTATGTCTCCCTGCCGGCCAGGAAACACCCTGGGATTCCCCCGGAGGAGCTGGTCCATGTAGCTGGTGAGAGGGAAGGGCCTCTCTGCTTAGGCTGCTGCCCCCGTGACCCGACTCCAGAAAAGCAGCTGGAAATGAATGGATGGATGACATAAAAGTCTTTGCCATTTCCACTTAGAACATGGAAACATCTGAGAAGGTCTAAGAGCATAGAGGCCTGGATCACAGGACAAGTAGTAAAAAAAAAAGAAGATTCTCATTGAATTCATCAGTTTGCCTCCTGCTATTATCCCACAGATGCCTTTCTCTGTCCTCACAACCTGATAAGCAACAGGTCCCTACAGTGTTTCCACCAGATGCACCCATGCCTACACCATGCCCCAGACAACATCCAGAGATCTATCACCTGAGTAAGACCACATCTGTGTGCCATACGATCTTGGGTCTCTATGATGATGCTGAAGGTGTGATTTTTTTCTGTGGCCTAGGCCTGAAAACAGCCTGATAATTCCTGCTGTTAAATATCCAAAAACAAGCCACGCTGTTGCACAGCGGGCTCCCTGTCATGAGTGCACCGTCACTCCCCCACACGGCCTGACACGCTGCTACCACACTAATAAACCAAGCACCCTGGGAGGTGGTGGACGTGAAGCAGGGGTAAAATGAGATCGCCAGAGGGCTTAATTTACAGAAATGAAAAGAAAGAGGAGAGGTCGGAGAACCACCACGCCCAGCCTCATCACTACTAAAACAAAAGCTGAACCCAAAGCAACCCAGAGCCTCTAAACTCACGGCAAACAATTATACAAAGAAAACTGTCAAATGCCCAAAAGGTTGCAAACTAAAAATCTTTATGTCTCCAACTGAAACAAAGCCCTGCTACTTCAAGCGCTATACCTAAGGGGTTGAACAAACACAAATCTGTCTGACTTTACAGTAAAACAACCAACAAGCTAACGAACACTCAAACATACACATCTGTATTTCAGGCGGAACAACCGTAGAGAGGTAGCCTGGCAAGCCAGACTAAATAAATGTATTATTAGTCTGGCCACGCTCCATGGACGGCTCTCGGTTGTGGGGCGGGTTCTACCGTTGTCTTTCAAATGATCTCCGCATTCCACTGGACGATGAATGTGACATACTCTTGTTTCACTCTGTTATATCATCCCACCCACCAGGCATATAGAGTGCCCTGATTGGCCCACAAAGCGGATAAAGCTCTGTGATTTGTTCACTAAGCAGATAGAGCACTGTGATTGGCCCACCATTATGGACCAATCACAGCTGTTTATGTGTTTGAAACCCCTCTAGAGAGCTGTGATTGGCTAGCCAGAGTCCTGGTAGGAGCTGCGGAGGTTCCAGTGGAGCGTGCCTAGACCAAACTTTGCAAAGCAAGAATTTGGTCTAGTTCACTAGGCTAGTAGATAGGAAGATGCCTCGGATCTGGGGACAGAAGGAAACGATTCTGGTACCACTCAGCTTCTGTCAGCCACAGCGTTTTATTGCTTCTCCAATCATTCTCAGTGGCTGCAGCTGCGGCGTCGAGAGATGCGAGGAGGAGGAGCGCTGCACTGAGCCGGGAGCTGTCCGTGGTGCTGCTGATCAGCCTGTGGCACTGGCGCTGAAGGCCACCGGCCGTTTCACTTCACTACAAAATTGAACTTTGCTAACATGCTTAAAGGAGAGCTAACAGCATTTCTTAACCCTCCCACTGTCCTAATGGGTGTGACCCCGCGAGGAAAGGTGACCATTGAGCAGGATTGGTGGTTTATCCCTTGGGTCCATGTGGCAGGGGTGAGAAGTGAGCACCACCTCATCCCTGCCACGTGGACCTCAAGGGATAAACCACCAATCCTGCTCAATGGTCCACTTTCCTCGCGGGGTCACCCATAAAGATGGTGGGAGGGTTAAACACACAAACATTTCACCAAGAAGCAGCAAAGACATCAATGTTCTGGTTGATTTTTCACTTCCTGTGATGTAAAGGACCTCCTGTAGGTCTCCTTTGGGAACAACGATAGACCAAACAGAAGCAACTAATGGGCCTTTACCATCTGTACCGGGTCGGCCCGGGCCGGGTAGCGTAGGTTGTTTACATATCTGGGTGGCCTGGTATTTTTCCGGGCCAACCAAGGCTCATTCTCAGCCCTCTTCTCGAGGGGGTCTGCTTCAGGCCGACCAGGGCCAACACACCCACTGCTGACAGCAAATTCACACCTTCCATTAGAGCAGGCCTCTGATTGGTGGGTAGAATCAGCCCACATGGGCTTAAGGCAAGGATGTGTGGAATCAACCGGGCCAGGCTGGGGCCGACTGGGGCTACCCGGCCCGGGCCGACCCGGTACAGATGGGAATGGCCCATAAGAGGTGAATCTGTTTGTACTTGGATACAACACGCTGACGTCAGCTTAGCCAGCTGAGTGGTGAGTCATGAGGGGCACACGTTTCTTCTATGCTGGCTGGTTTTGAGACAATCTGATCTTCCTTCTACAAGGAACATATGTGGCAGCTCACGTCCAACCCATTGTTCCCATTTTAAGTTGAATGTTTATCAGGCTATGAATGAAAAGGGCTACAGAACCGTAGCACCACAGCACTCAGACCTTTTAAAACTGGACAACATTACGTAAAATGAGCTTATAAGAGGACAACATTTGGAGAATTACTGCTAAAGATGTCTGATTCATTTTTGAATCAAATCCAAAGAAAAGGACTGGACCTTCCCAACAGCTAAAACTGATCAGATTTGATGTTTGCTTTTGAGTGAGAGAGATGCAGAAACCACCCTTCGTCACAATTTTTGACAGGTCTATCGTTCTTTGACCTTTATGACCTTTCCCCCAAACCACCTTACGTCAAACTTGACAGGTGTATTGTTTTATGACCTTTAATGACCCCATATGTCAAGAAATGAACTGATGACTGTGTAATGACCCAGGAAGTTACTGATTCGGTGTGAGGAAATGACATAGAGGGAGGGATGTGGGGTATTACGTATGAAGGGGGGGGGGGGGGGGGGGGGGGGCTGTGGGAACTGTGGGGTGAGGTATCGTAACACGAAAGAGTTTTCAATCCTAACTTGACGTAAAGTGGTGCAGATTGAATACATCAAAGCAGATCATCAATATACAGCTAGACAGAAGGGGACTACAATCAGTAACTTCCTGGGTCATTACACAACAGTCATCAGTTCATTTCTTGACATATAGGGTCATTAAAGGTCATTTCACAAAAGGTCATAAAACAATACACCTGTCAAGTTTGATGTAAGGTGGTTTGGGGGAAAGGTCATAAAGGTCAAAGAACGATAGACCAGTCACAAATTGTGACGAAGGGTGGTTTCTTCATCTCTCTCTAGCGCAGGGGTGGGCAATCCTGGTCCTCGAGGGCCGCTATCCAGCAGGTTTTAGTTGTTTACCTGCCCCAACACGCCTGATCGTTATGTTGATCTTGGGCCTCTTTCTCCATACTCAAAACCAGTTGTGACCAGTTTGGGGGTGAAAATTGATGCAGGACTTAAATTTGATGCTCACATCAACTCTGTGATCCGGTCCAGTTTCTTTCACCTGAGACGCCTTGCTAAAATCAAGCCTATGCTGTCGAGAGCCCACCTGGAGCGGGTACTGCATGCTTTTGTAATTTCTAGGCTTGACTACTGCAACTCTCTCTATGCAGGGTTGTGTCAGTCAACACTGCGTCGCCTACAGGTTGTGCAGAACAGCGCAGCCAGGTTCCTGACTGGGACCAGGAAACGGGACCACATCAGTCCGGTTCTGGCCTCCCTGCACTGGCTTCCGGTTTGCTATCGTTCACACTTCAGACTCCTCGTCTTTGTTTTTAATTTCTTCCAGGGTGGTGCTCCCCCCTATCTGGCCACACTCCTGAACAGACATTCCCCATCACGCGCTCTGCGCTCCTCTGACCAAGGCCTGCTCGCTGTCCCTCGTTCTAGGTGTCGAACTCGCGGGGACCGGGCTTTCACCGTCACTATGGAACCAGTTGCCACCCTCAGTTAGGCTGTCCCCATCTCTGCCAGTCTTCAAGAGTCGCCTAAAAACCCACCTCCTCCGCTTGGCGGTCCCTGAACATGTTTGAATTTGGCCCTCTTTTATGTTGATTTTATCTCACAGTTTTCATTGGTTCACGTTTTCCCTTGTTTTACACATTTGTCTTCTACTAGAATGTTTCACCTTTTGTGTAATTTGTAATCTGTAATTTGAATTGCTTTTATTTCCTGATTTATTCACTTTATTTAACTTTGTACTGTACCATGTTCAGCGCCTTGGGCTTCCTGACAGGGTGGCGGAAGGCGCTTTATAAATAAAGCTTTGATTTGATTGATTTGATTTGATTCCTGGATGAATCACCTGTTCAGCAGCTCATCAGGCTCTGCAGCAGCCTGTTAATCACTACTAGATTCAAACCAGGTGTGTTTAAGCAGAGAAACGAGTAAAACCTGCTGGACAGCGGCCCTCGAGGACCGGGATTGCCCACCCCTGCTCTAGCGTGGGTTACAGTGAATGAGAAAAATGGAGGGAAAGGTAAATCTAAAAGTTTACAAATAAACCGTGGAAGCAAATAGAAGAAAAATGACTTTTGCTAAAAAGAAATACTGAATGATTAGAATATTAATGCTTCTAAACCCTCATGTAACACTGACCATGGCCTGGGAATCGAGTCTTTCGGCAACAACACAATCAGTTCAGAGGGGAAACGAGACAAAATGCCACACACACACACACACACACACACACACACACACACACACACACACACACACACACACACACACACTGCATTTAAACACTTCAGCTTTTTAAATAATAATAAATGAGGTACTTACTGCTTTGCAGCTGACCGGTTTCCCGTTCATGTCTGTGGTAGGAGGAGCCAGTGGTTCCCAGTCACGCCCTTTGTTATAAGTGATGAGGGTTGTGACTTTACCATCCGTCTTCTGATTGGCTAGGAAGACTCCTTTGACTCCACGAACCTGGCAAAAAGAGGTGGAGTGACCTGATCTGAGAGCTTTTTAAATGCACACGTACTCTAGAACAGGGCTATTCATTTCTGGGCCCGGAGGGCCGGTATCCAGAATGTTTTAGTTGTAACCCTGCTCCAACACACCTGATTTCAAACAGCAGGTGATTAACAGGCTTCTGCAGAGCCTGATGAGCAGCTGCACAGGTGATTCAACCACTGAACCAAGTGTGTTGGACTGGAGAAAGCACTAAAACATGCTGGATACCGGCCCTCAAGGCCTGGAATTGAATAGCCCTGCTCTAGAGGGAGGTGGGAGGGGTCAATTCATTGGAAAACTGTGATTTTATTTGATTGGGAAAATCCTTGAAAATTTAGCATGCAACTTCTTTCAAATGCTTCCCAGCATAGATAAACCATATTGAAAGTACCAGACTTTGTTTTTAAATCGTCCAGGTAATGTTACAAACTGCAAACACAGCATGTGTGACATCACTGATGCTGCATCTGCTTACGTTTAGGGGTCTCAGCAACTGTCGATAGTGGAGTTTTTAAACTACTGCTCTTTGGAACTTCAAAGGTCAGCCAGTAGGGCAGAAACTCAACATTAGGATTTACCACGTGTATACCATGTCTTCACATCAAAACAAACTTTGGATCCATTTCTAGAAACAACTGTAAAAACAGATTTCCTCGTTAGAAAGAAGTCAGTGTTACTCCTGGAGCGACTTGAGAATCAAGTCTCTGCTCAGATGGCAAAAATCATTTGGCCCGGAGGCTGCAAAGGTTCTGGCCCGGACCTGTGTTAGCGTCCTTGCACACACTGGGCCAATACCAGTGTGTGTACTTTTTACCAACACTGGACCGGTAATGGCCGGAAACCCAAAAATGATCCATCCATCCATCCATCCATCCATCCATCCACCCACCCATCCATCCACCCACCCATCCATCCATCCATCCATCCACCCATCCATCCATCCATCCATCCATCCACCCACCCATCCATCCACCCATCCATCCATCCATCCATCCATCCATCCATCCACCCACTCATCCATCCATCCATCCATCCATCCATCCACCCACCCACCCATCCATCCATCCACCCATCCACCCACCCACTCATCCATCCATCCACCCATTCATCCATCCATCCATCCATCCATCCATCCATCCATCCATCCATCCATCCACCCACTCATCCATCCATCCATCCATCCACCAGATGCTCGGGCCACCTCAACTGGCTCCTCTCGATGTGCAGGAGCAGCGGGTCTACACCGAGCCCCTCCTGGATGACCGAGCTTCTCACCCTATCTCTAAGGGAGAGCCCAGCCACCCTGCAGAGAAAACTCATTTCAGCCGCTTGCACCTGCAATCTCGTTCTTTCGTTAACTACCCAAAGCTCATGACCATAGGTGAGGGTAGGAACGTAGATCAACCGATAAATTGAGAGCTTTACCTTCTGGCTCAGCTCTCTCTTCACCACGACAGACCGGTACAACGCCTGCATCACTGCAGACGCAGCACCAATCCACCTGTTGATCTCACACTCAATCTTTCCCTGACTCGTGAACAAGACCCTGAGATACTTAAACTCCTCCAGTTGAGTCAGGATCTCATCCCTGACCCGGAGAAGGTGTTCTACCCTTTTCCGACTTAAGACCATGGTCTCAGATTTAGAGGTATCTCATCCCAGCCACTTCACACTTGGCTGAAAACCACTTCAGTGAAAGCTAGTGATCACAATCTGATGACGCCAACAGGACCACATCATCTGCAAAAACCAGAGACCTGATCCTCAGGCCACCAAAACAGATCCCACGCAATACCAGTAACAGTGATGAAGGGCATTCTTGGCGGAGTCCAACTCCCACCGGAAACAAGCTTGACTTACTGCCGGCAATGCGGCCCAAGCTCTGACACCGGTCATCCAGGGACCTGACAGCCCGTACCCAAAAACGAATCCATTAAAGATAAATAACGCTTCAGCCTGCAGCCTTCTTTTCTCCTTTGTGGAATAAAAAGGAAAGGAGGGGACAAAAAAGGCACTTCCATTTCCCAGAGTCCAGACAGACACAGTCCTGCCCTCTGATTTAGGGTGCCAGAAGCAAACCGGATGGGACGGTTTTGCGGATCTGCCGGCTTGAAAGCGGATCTGGCGCGAAGTTACCTGTAGGTTGATGAGCTGAGAAGGGTTGAGATTATTCTGATAGTTGATGAGTTGCTTCATAGTCTTAATGGGATGTATTGATAATACGATTAATAAGGTAGAGTGTGGAGATTATCTGCTTAAGTGTGATTAAGCAGTGCTTTTTAAAAGTGTTTTATGCTGATTGGTTGCTATGGACACTGCAACGCTGTGTGTATGAGAAGACTTCCCAAAACAGAAATTCTGTCAACTCACCTCCAGGATATCAACGAGAACATTCTCCTCTGGCTGCTTGGTGCTCCGCACGTTCTCGAGGATCATGGAGTAGTAGACACCTTGGGGGTCTGACTGGTACAGGTTATACGTGTCAGACTGGTACCACTCCTGGAGAGCGAGGAACACCTGGTTTTCGTCCGTACTCACTATTTGAACATCCTAAAAGCAGAGATGGCGGCAAGGAAGAAGGAGACAAAAAGACAAATGTGGTAAAAACATCAGCATAAAAGGCAAGCCTCTCCTGAAAAAATACACACCACCTGCCAACCTTTCATGCCAGGGTTTTGAGCTAAAATCAGCTTTTGTTGAGATAAAGGAGGTTAGAGCTTGTTTGAACTTTGTAACAGTTGCATGCACATAAGTCCAGTGGTTGATGAGATGTTTTGCTAATGAACAGGTTAACTCCAACAGCCCATGTCGATGTTTTAGGTAAAAATGGTGCCCAATGGGAAGGGATGGGAGTATGTGACCATTAGCAATTAGAAAACCAAGTTTTAGTCCAGTTTCTGTGGATCCTGAGGTAGTTTGCTAGCAGGGCCAGCTAATTATAACTGCCAACGTTTCACAAAAATATCGTGGTCAGAGTATGTGCTGGGGAAGATCCTTACCTACAATATCAAATGTGAGTTCAATTTGTGTTAAATGGACTGAGTTTGATCCAGTTTTGTGTTCCCCAAGGTGGTGGCAGGCACCTTACATGAAAAAGTCTAATCAGACAGGAAAAAAGTGAAAAACAGAAGAGCTAGAGACAAAGAAAACCTAAAAGAAGCATTTGCCAAACATAAAAATGAGACAATAACTCACTGCCAAATAAAGAACATAATCGGATAAATACAAAGCTGCAGACACAGGAACAAACTATGTTTATGTATTTAGCAGACGCTTTTGTCCAAAGCGACTTACAAGTGATAATCGGCAATAACAACAACAACTTCACGTCAGTCATGGAGAGGAGGGAACAAGGAGTGGACAGTAGAGAGGGGGATGAGTGCAGGGAGGGTGCTAGTTAAGAAGATGCTCTCTGAAGAGCAGGGTCTTCAGGAGTTTCTTGAAAATTGAAAAGGAAGCCGCTGTTCTGGTAGTGCTTGGAAGGTCATTCCACATTTGTGGAACGATGCATGAGAAGAGTCTGGATTGTCCTGAGCGTGGTGTAGGCACTGCTAGCCGACCATCCTGTGATGACCGGAGCGGCCGGGCCGAGACGTAAGCCTTTGCAAGAGGATTCAGGTAGATGGGAGCCGTACCATCTCGGACTTTGTATGCTAGTGTTAGCAATTTGAATTTGATGCGTGCTGCTAGCGGTAGCCAGTGGAGCTCAATGAACAGAGGGGTGACGTGTGCTCTTTTTGGCTGATTGAAGACCAGACGCGCCGCTGCGTTCTGGACCATTTGAAGAGGTCTCACAGTACAGCCTGGAAGACCAGTTAGAAGGGCGTTGCAGTAATCGAGGCGGGAGATGACAGTAGATTGCACCAGGAGCTGGGTGGCATGTTGTGTCAGGTATGGTCTGATCTTTCGTATGTTGTACAGCGCAAAGCGGCATGAACGAGTAACAGAGGCAACATGATCTTTAAAGGCCAGGTGTTCATCAATCACAACACCCAGATTTCCAACTGCCTTTGAAGGAGCCAGAGATAGGAAGTCATTCTGGATTGAGATATTGTGCTGTATGGATGGTTTTGCTGGGATGACAAGTAGTTCAGTTTTAGAGAGGTTGAGTTGGAGATGGTGGGATTTCATCCATTTTGATATGTCAGAGAGACAGTTTGATATTCGTGCAGAGACAGTGTGGTCGTCCGGTGGAAATGACAGATAGAGCTGGGTGTCGTCTGCCTAGCAGTGGTAGGAGAAGCCATGTGATCGAATGATCTCACCCAGTGAGGTGGTGTATATGGCAAAGAGAAGAGGTCCTAGCACAGAGCCCTGGGGGACTCCTGTGGCAAGATGGTGCACGGTAAAGGACTGTCCAAGCCAAGATACACTGAATGATCGTCCTGTGAGGTACGATTCAAACCAGGCGTGTGCTTTCTCTGTGATGCCCATGCTAGAGAGTGTGGACAAAAGGAAACCATGGCTGACAGTGTCAAATGCTGCCGATAAGTCGAGCAGGATAAGCACTGAGGATTTGCCTGTCGCTCTAGCTTCTTTTAAGGATTCAGTCACTGCTAACAGAGCAGTTTCAGTGGAGTGGCCCTTTTTGAACCCAGACTGGTAAGGGTCAAGCAGACAGTTGTGTGAGAGGTATTCTGTGACCTGCTTGAAAGCCACCCTTTCAATGACTTTGGACAGAAAAGCGAGGAGAGAGATAGGTCGGTAGTTCTCCACATGATTTGGAGGAAGAGATGTTTTTTTGAGCAGCGGTTTAACCTGAGCATGCTTGAGAGAGGTGGGAAATGTACCGGATGTCAGTGAAGCGTTGATCACGTGTGTGACTGCTGCGGCTACTGTAGGAGCAATAGCTTGGAGCAGCTTAGTTGGAATGGGGTCAAGTGGGCATGTGGTAGGGCGGCTGCACGTGGGAAGCTTGAAGATAGAAGATAGCAGAGCACATCAACCTTTGAAAAAGTGTTTGTGGCAGCTTAAAACACTTGATAAGCGTACTTGTCAAAACTCTTGAGGAAAATGGCTTCATCACTCATGAAGGAAAGTAGCAGCGGCACAAGAGCGACTCAGCACTTTCTCTGTGTTACTGATTACATTACCATACCATCTGAAGACAAAACTATCGGAGTGTGGAGGCAAGGGCCCAAGAGTGAGTGTGTGTCTGTGTAGTCATTAACACTCCTCCTTACTCAGAATGTAAAACACTCGGGCTCAATTACCTCAGGATTTATGATTGTCACCTCAAGTAATCGAGAAACTGAAAACTGTGCATCAATCTTAATTCTGATAAACATTATGTCTCTGAGTCACTTAGAATTATTTGTATAGATTGCAAGAGTCAGAATTATGATGAAACAAGAACAATCTGAGAGAAATTAGATGTTTGCTACCAAATACTACATCAACTCGTCACAAACTATACAAGCAATTAGTTATTGAATTGAATAACAAATAGAATTTATGTACATTTAACTTGCTTTAGAAGACGGGTTTTCCTATCTCCATATACGTGATTTGTGCTTCTGTGCTTTTCAAACAGAGTGAAACTCAAAACCAAAAAAAACATTTTTTATCCATAAATGGTGCAAAATACTCTTTTGAAATTGCTGTTTCACCTGATTTAATAGGGTTAAAGTGACTGCTACTTCCTGAACCTACCATTACATCAAGAAGCAGTGGGCTTTGTGGTCCCCACCTGCTAAGGTGTGCAATCACGTCTAAAAATCACAACTTTCTCAGATAATTAGGCTAATCTATAGTTTGATGGACTGTGGAAGTCACCTAACACAGAGAAACTTCCAGCTGTTCGACAATCTGGACAAACACAAACAACTCCGTCTTTTTGTCAACAAAACATTACAGACAGATTTGAAGCCGCTGAATATCAGAGACGGTCAACTCATGTTCTCTTGCTACCCTTAGTGGAGCAAAGACAACACGTATCGCCGACAGTGGCGGCACCAGGGAGGCGCTAGGGGGCGCTATAGCTACCCCTGGATTAGTCATTGCACCCCCAAGTAAATATTAGATTTTTATTTTTATTTTTAAATTTTAATTTTAATTTAACGTGTGGATGTGATAATATTTAACATACAAAACAAAAATAATCAGTAAATTATCAAATAGATAGTAAAAACTTAAACCAAAACAGGAAATTGATGTTAACCTTTGACCTCATTTTCCACCTGTGAACGAGTGAAAGGTAGAGCTAGCGGTAAAATGGATCGGTGTTTGTTGCCCACATTTCCACGGGTTCAGTCAGAAACGAATGTTTGGAAGTGATCTCAGACCCACAAACACCTACGGATCTGGATGAAGAGAGTCAACCCTCAACCACCGCAGCAGTCCAGGGTTTAGCCGCTGGAGATGCTAACGCTAACGTTAGCTAACCTTGCAACACTATAGATGGTTTTCTGTGTGGCTGTATGTGTTTATGATTTCATGGAAAAGTCGGCGATTGTTCATATGTTTATGATGTATATTAATGATTGTTCCAGGTGTTGTTGAGGTGTTGTGCACGCATGTGTATCTGCTAGTGTTGAAGGTGTTTTAGAGAACAATAGGTACGCATGACCACTTCCTTCATAGCACCTGCAGAAAAACATTTCTGGAGCCGCCCCTGATCGCTGCTGATACATGTTGATACTCTACCAACGTTAAAGTGACAACGTGTAGTTTTTACCGAGAAACTCTGGAAATATCCATCAAAATATTGTAAATGAATGAAATGATGCCCAGTTGTGGAAAACATTGACAGTTTTATAACATATAACCATAAAAATCTCATCTAAAACACAAAGGAGCGGGTGTCAGTCTCTGGATGATGCCTTATTGGAGCAGATAAATCAGACTTGGAATGCTGAAAGCACCTCAGCCAACCAGTCGGTCATAAAAATAAGGAAGAACAGTTATTAATAAGACTACAATAATAAAACAATAAAAACAATAATAAAGTGTGTATCTCACATGTGTCTATAAATCACAGCCAATGACACAGCTTGATCTGAAACCAAGTATTTGACCAATCTGGTTATCTGTCTCGCTGAAGTGCAGCATGTCCCTGTGTCCTCCACAACGCGCTCGCATATTCACCAACAGCACCACTCAATAATATCAGAGGAGGAGAAACAGCCCGCTGCTACCACTTCAGCTTTAGGTCACATGACCAGAGTCCCAAACAGATAAAACCACATTTTGAAGTCACAGAAAAGAAAAGATGTTTGAATAAAGACAACCGTGACTGGTGTTTAGTGCTCTCTTGTTTATTTTTCTTGGTACCTTGTGTTTGGGTATCAAGTGGGTGTGGCCCAGCATGAGAGCCAATAGGAGGGGTGAGAGTTCTGTGATTGTTTGTGTTTAAAAGTTAGCTTGTGTTGCATATTTCCCTTCAGCTTCAATTTATAACAGTGATGTGAACAAAAATCTATCCATGCCCCTGAAGTGCTCAAAGTGGATGAACAGGCCAACTACCAAAGGATATGAAAGTGGAAAAATGACAATCACCCATTTTAAACCCCGCCCACTCCATGTAAACAAATAGAATAACTTCCTGAATC